GATTTATTAAAGTATGAAAATATGTGGCAAGGTTGCAACAGGCAGCACAACAGAGAAGGGGCTGTCTGCAAAGAGGCAGGGGTTGGAGGGAAGTTTGATAGGGTTGTGCCGGAGGGGGCTATGTGCAGAGCAAAGTCATTTTGCCCATAAAACAAGGTCATTGTACCTGTGTAATGAGGTCATTGTTTGTAAATAGCCATCTCTCAGAACAACTGGGTCCGCTTTCTCATTGTTGTTTACTTATCAGTACTCCCTATTAAAGATCATCCAACCCCATTTCAGACCCACAATAGGGATTTTTCTCCCACATTCTTTATAGCCCTATGGCTATCTGGTCACCTAAGGTGCAAGGTTCACTGGCATGCAAGGTAGTGCATTCTTTCTGTGGTCAGCTATAAAGTTTTAAAGGTATTTCCTGGTATTGAGGTAGGATCTTTCCGACTACATCTCCAACTCACTGATTTTGTATTTACCTTGAAATTTCAGAACAAGCCCCCTCTTTCCCCACTGCCAGGGCAGACCTACACATTGTTTGAACATTTTCATTACATGTGCCCCTTCCCCCACCCCCAATCCAGAGTATTCTTCAGGCAGAATAGTCAGTTTCTTCAATGTGGCCTTTGGCTTCTTCATCTTTTCTGCATCTATTCATTAATTATGGTGCTACACATTAATCCGTTTATTGCAGAAGAGTCTGGATAGTGTAAGCATAGAAAGAGTATCACTTATAGAGTCTAGGGTGCCCAGACTATCTCTTAAAGCCCATCTTTTCCCCCTGGTACTCTCAAGCTTTCCACCAGGGCCAACCCCATCTGGAGAGGCATTTTAAATGCCTTCCCCAGCTTCTCTCCCATGGGCCTACTCTTTGATCACCTTCCCTAGCTTTGGATTCCCATGCTAGTGTCACTGACTTGCTAAGCCATCTTCTCTGCCCCCAGTCTGGCCTATGATCATGAAGACCCAATGAAGGGATTTGGGATCAAAATGAAGCTTAGTTCTATGGAGTAAAGATGGCTCACTCTGATGAATATGATGGCAAAATCTGATCTTTGAAGAGGTTAAGCAGTTGACTTTGAAGTCATTACAAATGCGGATCCTTTGTGACGTTTTATCACATTGTAGTGAAGTTATTGAGTACACTTTTAATATTTACAGACTATAGAGTAGATGGTTTAATATAGCAGTGTTAATTATTTTTAGTATCAGACATTATGTTTGTTGTAACCACTAGCATTCTTTTTAAAAGGAGCTTATTAAAATACGAAAGTAAATGATGTGTGAAAAATAACATTAATACAGTCTTAGTGAATGAAGAATATACAAATTGTGCACTAATTTTTCATCTCCTAGGCAGAGTCAACTATTACATGGACTAGCTTTACTCTACAGCCACTTTAATATACATCTGGAAGACAAATTAGTAATGTATGATAAATGTAGCAGAAGTGGAAATTTAACTAGCTGAACAGCTAACAGATTTCAGTAAAGAACTGAAAGTGATGTATTATGATGCTTTGCCAACTTGAAAGTTCCATGGTATATTCTAGACAAGAATGTGGCCTTAGACCAATGATTCCGATATTGATGTTTGACATGCTTTTAAAGACAATGTTTCAGTTTTGTACTCACTTTTTGTCCCTGGGAGCAGTCCCAACTGGGCGCTAGGTAGGCCCACAGGAAATGAAGCCCAGACTCAGATGTGGAGCTTACATTCCTTAGCAGGCTGGGTGCAGCTAGAGTTTCCAGCAAGCCCATGAGCAGAAGATGGAGAGTAGAAGCACAGGAAAGCTGCTGGTAGGAGCAATTTTGCCTCCATTTAAGCAAACATTATTCCCTTCCACAAACACTGACTCTCCATTTCCAACTGTGCAACTGCCCAGAGAAAGCAATTCCTTCACATTAATAAATGAAATCCTTCACCCCTAGTTTGAGTTTTCATGGCGTCCTCCCTGAATTTAAGTCCCCCTTCTTCCTTAACCCCAAGTCTGTATGTCTGAGTATAAACAGCTGATGTCTTTCTTCTTATTCTTCCCATACTAATTTCTTCTAAGTGTTCATTGTCAAAATTGACTGTCCATGAGGTCCCACCTGAGAACACAGAAACAGATTTAGCTATAAAGTTTCTTAACATAAATAATTTCAGGTCTCATTTCACTGGGTCTCAGTCAAGGTTGCCCTTATGTTTAAAACAGTTTTAATTCCACGTCTTTATTTATATCTACTTATAAGTATTGTCACATTTTCATATATGCTTTCTATTCACATCCATACTTTCTTATAATTCTGAAATTCAAAAAGTTCTAAGAACCATCATTTTTTCTAACCTTGAGACAAACTCATTTGATGACTTAACCTAAACTGCTGTAAATATATTTATTTAAAACATTTCTGTATTCCTCTTATTGTGAATCTTACTTCAGCAATAGTAACAAGTTTTATTAAAGGGTGCTTATGTAGATCCCACTGAGAATATTATATATGATATATTCAGCATATTAGTTTTTAAAATTAAAAACATCTGAATACTAAAATACATCTCTTCTCAGAAGGGCTTTAGATAAGAAAGATCTATACAAAACACACACACACATGCAGCCCAATTTCTACTACATCCAATAAACTTTGATTTAGCTGAGAGATAAGTTGATTTTGTTAAATAAATCACCTGTGCTTCATGTGCATCACCTTAATGTATTTGGTTGAGGGAGTAATCCCTCGGATTTTTTGTTTCTTACAGAAGTTGGTAGAAAATCATCTAGTAAGTGGAACTCTATCCAGAAATATTCCAAAGTCAACCTAGAATCTATTTTAGCTTAGTAATAACAGAATGACCAGCTTCTTATCGAAAGCCAGAAATGAATGCATAGATGTGAAATGATAACTAGGAAACAGCCTTTTCACTTGAGAATCATAAATGTAGATACAAATTAGATTTTATCCCTCAGTCTACCACCCAGTATTCTCAGTGTTGCAGATGCTCTGTGTTATATTTAAAACTTCACTTGAGGGGAATTGAGGCCAAGTTAGCCTAATCTCTGGATTAGTCTCACTTAGATTTCTGTTCTCTCAATCTTTATTTAGTAACTAAAGACAAAAACAATTGATTAGATTTAAAGAGAACTTTGCATAAATAGGATATCATTACTGACAAGAAAGAGAGATCTACAAAGGAATGCAGGGCAAGAAGAGCCCTGTTATCGGTCTCCTCACTTTACCCCCATTGCTGGAGGAAGGCACACAGTTCTCAGGAGATACAGTAGTCTCCTTATTTCTTGTTGTTATTATTTAGTCTCCTTATTTCTTATTATTCCCTAATCTCTAGATGTACTTGACAGAGGAACATACTTGTAGTTCGCATTTACTTAGCAAATAGCAATTCAAAATGAGCTTTCCCTATGTGAAAGAAAATGTCTACCTGGGAAATTAAAGGTCCAGTCTTCAGGGACACAGGGCACAGGAAGTGGAAAGGCTCTCTACACTGAGTAGTGACTGATGAGGAGCCCATGCTGGCTTTGAAGGGATCCTATTCCTTCCCAAGCAGCAGCACAGTATGGCTCCAGCTCAGCAGGTGAGAGTTGTAATGTTGGAGAAGAGGTTCTAGTGAGCGCGAGGGGTGGGGACATGAACTTGTTTGGGTTCAGGCAGTGAATAAAGATCTATGCTCCTTGAGTTGGGGGCTGGGGAATCCTGTGGATCCTTTTTCTCACGTTTGAACGAGGGGCCATAGGACCAGATGACCTCCAGGACCAGACTGGGCTCTCTTGACTGAGCTGCTGCTTCAGATTTGGGGAATGCAAGGGAGACAGCAAGTCAAGTTGCTGTTGCATGCAAGAGGCTGCGAAGATCAGGTAGATGGTAAACAGACAAACAGGCCCCCAGCACCCTCCTCCCCATGAGCTAAACTGATCTCCAAAGAGGGATTAGGCTGAAGAGACAGGGGGAGATTAGAACCTTCCCCCAAATTTACAGACCCATTTCTAAGAGAAAGCAAACTTCAATCCAAAGCGACAATGAGAAAAAGATAGAAAGACGATAGCATACCCCAGTTTGCCAAGATGCAGCTGAGGCTGATTTGTTATGGGGCACAGAGAGCAAACGATCGGTGAGGAGGAGTATTGATTATCAATAAAGGTAGAGTAGCAAATGGTGTCACTTTCCAAACACTTTGCTTGGTCAGCTTTACAAATTTAAAATCAATCATTACAGCTGGTTGGTCTCTTATGATTATACCTCCTGGTAAGAGTTACAAAGAGGTTATAAAAATTAGGGTGGAGGAGGCCTGGAAGTGTGTTATCTCATTCTCTCATTCATACACCAGACAGACAGCAATTGAGAACCAACTCTAGTCACTATGAGCCCCAGGCCGTCAGCAATGAATATGCTCAGCACAGCTAGTGCCCTTTGAGGGAGCTGGAAGGCCAGTGTGCTAGGTAGTAGTCTTGGCTCTCCAGCTAGCTGTGAGGCAGAGACCAACCCTACCTCCTTTCTGAACCTCAGTTTCCTCCAACTAAAATTATTATTGAACTCACTCCTTCTTGGTAATAGAATTATATACCATGTATTTAGCTAAGATCAGAGCCCCTTGACGAACCTGTGGGGTGTTGAACAAGGAGGGAACAAAAACTGAAAAATTATCTTAACTGAAAAAAGTGGGACAGTTTAACATCTAAAGCTGTATATCTCTATCTGCATCCAGAAGGCATGCAAACTTGGCTTAAGGTTTTTATGTTGACGTAGGGTGGCAAGGCTTTTCTGGAATACAAGGCAGTGTGATGGAAAGCCAAGAAATGTGGATACACACAGGCCTGGTTCTTATCAAACCTTTGAACTTGGGCCAGTCACTGGGCCTCCTAAGCCTCACGTTTCCTATCTGTAAAATGGGGACAATAAACCCCACTCTCCCTGTGTGTCACGAATCATAGGCCCTTCTGCTGAATTGGGCTGTTTTCCATCTGATTTGAGACTAAATGAGGCAATGATTTATGTCGTTTTTCTTTCAGCCCACCCTTGGCCACTCCCCAGCCCCTACCTGCAGTGCAAGCCAGCGGGGGTTCTGGCAGCTCCAGTGAATCAGAGAGCAGCTCTGAGTCAGATTCAGACACTGAAAGCAGCACCACTGACAGCGAATCTAATGAGGCACCTCGTGCGGCCACTCCAGAGGTGAGTGAAGGAGCCAGGGGCCTAACCATGATCTGCCTGTCCCCAAGGCATCACCCTCAACACACACACACACATGCACACAGACACACAGACACACACACACACACATGCACATACACACACACATTTTCAGCACAGTAATTAATTTAGCACAATAACCACTTCAGAAAAGTATCCAGATGTTTAAAAGTATTTTTAAAAAACATATATTCACAAATCCTAACATGCAAAAATTTTTTGCTGTGTGACTCACTTAGCTACTCTTAGCATAGTAAAACTAGCATAGTAATGACTAGATTAGCAGCTTGTCTTCTGAGAGGACCAGTGAAGCTAGTCAAGATCCAATTCTGGCCTTGGGGACACTGACTCTTATTCTAGATTAAAGTGTGAATTGTTACTTGGCAAGTAAGACCCAAGAAGTTTGACTTTACTTAAAGGTAAAATGATCATTTAAATGTTATATGTTCTTTATTTTAATATCCATCCTTCAAGTGCATTTGATAATAATTCACAAAAACATTTAATACAGCTCCATGAAATACTAAAATAATAATTTTGAAATAAAGAATTTGCTTCACATCCTCTGATTCCAGGATGGCTGCTCAATTTTCCTGAGCCTGCGTTTGGTACAGCAAGAAAAATCCACCCCCAACACCTGGCTCTTCATAAACTTGTTTTTCAATAATCTGAAAAGAAAAAAATAGGAGACAGTAGTTACATTTTTGCTATTAATAATAGAAACGCCTGTTGAACATGGACCATGCATGTTCCAGGCGCTGCTGAACCCTTGACTTGCATTTTCTCATGCCATCTTCATAACAACCTTTCAGAGTACTCATTATTATCTTCATTTTACAGATGAGAGAATAAGGTTCTAGGAGGTTAAAAAGAACTTTCCCAAAATCTCAACCCTTGTCTGTCATTGTCTTGCGCAGGTTGCAATCACAACTACTCAAGTGTTTTTAATTCTGTCATCCTCTATTGGCTGGTACCATAAGCTTCTGCTGATGGTTTTATTAGAAAAGCTCTTTTAATAAAAATGATGGCTCTTTTATTTCAGCTGGCAGACCTAAGAGCTGGGAATCAAGTACCCGAATAGTATGCATCATTGCCATGGTTTAGTGGATGCTAATGTCTGCATGCATGTCCCTATAAATTGGTTATTGCCCATACACCAAGAAAAGTGCGGTGGTTTCTATTTTTTGGAAGTCAAATCTTTTTGACCTTCAGTAAAAATACAAAAGGCTTGCTCTGTTTTCAGTGAAAGACAGCATCACATAGAAGGCACTGGCATTTTGGCAGATGGAAAGCCTTTCCTTTTGAATTACACTTGAGGTGCGCTTACATTCCTTTCAGGATCAGAGACTATTACCTCTGCCTCCTGGTGAGAGGTTGAGTGATGATTCCCACAAAGGATTTTGGAAACAGGTTTCCCTCATGGGCACCCCTGCTAAGCCACTGGAACATCTCTCTGTGAATAATTCTTTTCTTCCTGGCCAAAGTGGAGAATATTTTCAGATAATGAGTGGAAATGAGCTTCAATAAGTAGACTGCAGCTGGTTTATATCTGGCTATTTAGGTCATTTGAATATTGTGGACAGTGGGTGTGTACAGGTGGGTGTGTGTGCGTGTGTGTGTGTGTATAAGCGTGTATATTTGTGTATGTGTGAAAAGTCACTTAACATCCAAAGCTTTTAGTAGTAGTCTCTGTACTGAGGGTTCTCCTGAATCCTTCCCAAGTGTAAAAATCTTTCTTGATGCTGTTTCTCAATCTACAGCCTGAGCCACCCTCAACCAACAAGTGGCAACTGGATAAATGGCTTAACAAAGTGACATCCCAGAACAAGTCTTTTATTTGTGGCCAAAATGAAACACCGATGGAGACGGTTTCTCTGCCTCCTCCAATCATCCAACCAATGGAAGTCCAGATGAAAGTGAAGACAAATGCCAGTCAGGTCCCGGCTGAACCCAAAGAAAGGCCTCTCCTCAGTCTCATTAGGGAGAAAGCCCGTCCACGGCCCACTCAGAAAACTCCAGAAACAAAGGCTTTGAAGCATAAGTTGTCAGCAAGTAGTGAGACAGCGTCTCAAAGGACAATTGGGAAAAAACAGCCCAAAAAGGTTGAGAAGAACACCAGCATTGACGAGTTTACCTGGCCCAAACCAAATATTACCAGCAGCACTCCCAAAGAAAAAGAAAGTGTGGAGCTTCCTGACCCACCAAGAGGCCGCAACAAAGCCACTGCCCACAAACCAGCACCTAGGAAAGAACCAAGACCTAACATCCCCTTGGCTACCGAGAAGAAGAAGTACAGAGGGCCTGGCAAGATTGTGCCAAAGTCTCGGGAATTCATTGAAACAGATTCATCTACATCTGACTCCAACACAGATCAGGAAGAGACCCTGCAAATCAAAGTCCTGCCTCCGTGCATTATTTCTGGAGGTAATACTGCCAAATCCAAGGAAGTCTGTGGTGCCAGCCTGACCCTCAGCACCTTAATGAGCAACAGTGGTGGCAACAACAACTTATCCATCAGTAATGAAGAGCCAACATTTTCACCCATTCCTGTCATGCAAACTGAGATTCTGTCCCCTCTGCGAGATCATGAGAACATGAAAAACCTCTGGGTGAAGATTGACCTTGACTTACTCTCTAGAGTACCTGGCCACAACTCCCTCCATGCAGCACCTTCCAAGCCAGACCACAAGGAGACTGCCACAAAATCCAAGCGTCAGACAGCTGTCGCCGCTGTGGAGAAACCAGCCCCTAAGGGCAAGCGTAAGCACAAGGTAAGCAGTCCAAAGTGGCCTGCCAAGTGCTTGTGAGCAGTGGCTGTCTGTTGTCTGACTTGATCTTGAGTTTCATTTTCAAGGAAGCCAAGGCAGTGCAATGCAGATTTTGGTGAAGGTGATAATGCTTTCTATGGGAAATGCAGTATTTGACATAATCAGAGAGGAAATACTAGGAATGATCTGTAGCCAGTGGCAAGACTGTCCATTATGGCAAATGAGGGCTTATGATGTGTGGGAAAGAAAAATACGAAGAAAGTCTCCTTACTTAGGCAGGGCACCCAAGTGCCCCCAATGTCTAAATGCATTTTCTAGGGCTTATTCATTTCTCTGGACAAACATTAGCATCTCCACAGCCCAGTTATACTCTGAGTGTCCAGGGTCCTAACAACCACATGTTCTGCCTGGCCTGCTGGGATCACTGACCTATGTGGTAGGCTTGACTTGGGAAAATGTTACCTCCAGAAGTTTAGGGATGAATTCTAAGGCTATAAATTATACTCATAAGGGGAAATCCAGAATTGCCCTTTTCATCTGAACTATATATAGAGAGATGGTTTGGTATCCAGTATGCTCATTCTGTTGTATCTCCACATCTCAGGGTAGTTTTTTTTTTTTAGAGTAACATCTCATGATGATGATATTCAGGTAATCTTATTTCTAAGACTGTCACAGTGGCTAGAAAGGAGGGTCTCAGTCCTCCTTTCTTCTGTCCCTTTCCAGGAAAGACTTAAGATTCCTCACTGAGTCACAGCCCCCCCTGTGTCCACACCATCCTACTGACTAGGATGCTGCAAGAATGATTGCAGTCATCATTCAGCTTGACTTTACAAGTTCCAAAACAAAGGATATTCTCTCTGGGTTGCATACGAACATACCTAATGAAAGTAGAGTTTGAACATCCCCAATCTGAAAATCCAAAATCCAAAATGCTCCAAATCTGAAACTTTTTGAGCACTGACATGGCACTCAGGAGAAATAAATGTTCATTGGAGCATTTTCCGATTTTGGATTTTTGAATTTGAGATGCTCAACTGGTAAGTTTAATGCAAATATTCCAAAATTCCAAAATATTCAAAATCAGAAACACTTCTGGTCCCAACTATTCTAGGTAATGGCTACTCAACCTGTATTCCAAAATAGGGACCAAGAAGTCAAAGGCCTTTGCCCTACCACTGATTCTCCACACTTAGTGATGACGACAGTACAACCACAGCTGACAATGTACCTTCAGAACAGCACATGCAAAAGTCCAAAGGTGTGCTTCGAACGTGGTTCATTTCCTTGCATGGCGTTCATTGTATAAGCAACCTTTAGATGTCAGCCACCATCCCCATGTTGCTTGGACAGGGTTTATGTCACGTTCAAGTTACAATGTTAGTTTCTAAACTACTCATTTGTGGGAGCACTGTTGATGGGAGAAGTGCCCAAAAATTGTATTAATAGATTCTCTTTACTGTTGTTGTGAGAGTCCTATGCCACCCAGTCTTTACAAGAGGTTCAGATCACACAGTTCTACTCTCTCAAATGCCAACTTCTTGGTAGGACTAGGCGAGGCAAGGTTGATTGCTTTTCTGTCTAATCAAAGGCTCACATTTAACCTTCCTACCTAATCTAGAGGTTAAAATAAAAGCAAACTATGTATCTTGCCCATTTTTTAGTGTATAAAACATGGTTGTCTGAATGGTGCCATGTATTTCAAGCCCTGTATATTTTTCCGTGTTAAAGCCAACAGAAGCTGCAGAGAAGATTCCTGAGAAGAAGCAGCGCCTGGAGGAGGCCACGACTATCTGCTTGCTCCCTCCTTGCATCTCACCAGCCCCACCTCACAAGCCTCCCAACACTAGAGAGTGAGTCTTCCCTGTCTCTGTATGATGGCTTGGTATGATTGTTCGGACTCCCAAGAAATCCTAATTGAACCTGTTTAGGGGATCCTGCCCCAGAAGACTTTAAGGTAAAAAACAGGAGTCTCTCAGTCAAGGCCTGACAGCTGTCCCTGGCCACTGGTCTAACAAGGATGTGATAAAGGGTGCAACATAGGCTGCCAGGTTTGGTGTGACTCCATGAGCTTTTAGCAACATTTCCTTACTCCAAGTCAGATTGATCACTAAAATCAGTTAAAACAAAATTTGAGTACTTAGTAAAGGGTAAAAGGAAATAAAGAAATTAAGAAGCATCAAGAGAATCCCTATCACCTGCTTCTACCCAACCTTCAGTTCTGATGGTGATTACTCAGTTTCCCTGGAAAGGCAACTCCCTGATCTTGACAGGATGAGGCATCTACTTCCTCTTTGATATCATTACTTAACATTGATATGAAGCTTGAGGACCAGTAGCTATGTCTGGAGTGCCACAGAAGCCAGGGGAATGAAAAATAAAGTCGGCTTTCCCTGACACAGAAGTGCCCCAGGAGGAGGGCCACTCCCAGACAGCTCATCTCTCTGGCCTCCCCAAACATGTTATTCCAAGGAGGTTGCACCTTGTCTCCCTTCTCTCTCTGTGTGGAAGGTTCCGGAGTCCAGCAGGAGGCCTCCTGACACCTCCTCACTCCAACAGCTTGAGTCTTCTACAGAGAAGTCCTGCCTTCTGTTTCTGCCAAACATTGTGACCAAGTTCTTTCTGTCTTATAAATATCACTTAACTAACAATCATGTCAGCTACTTGAACAATTCTGTCTGAGTAATTATTGCCATAAATTCATTCAACGTTAGAGATTACTGTCATCAAAGCCCAGTTTTGGAGCCTATTAGCAGCCCAGAGCAGAGAGCAATCTGGCTAACTGCTGCTAACAATTGATTTCACAGATTACTGTTTAACATCAGTGATACAGCATCAATCTGCTACAGATAAGATGTCAGAAATAAGTTATCAGCTTACGTTTGTCTGAATCTTTGTTGTTTTGAGATGAAAGGAAGGAAAAGATCAATTACCACTAGATCTGGTTTAACTAATAAGGAGATTTGGGTCCTGGGCTGCCCCCTCCCTGAGGATCACTAGCTATTGGTGAGGTGCATCTGTATTCTCTGACATAACTTTGCTCTGAAACATCCCTTCACATACACACTTCGAGTTCTGAGAACTAGAGACCCTTCCAGTGGAGCAAGCTGACCGCTTCACCTCAGGGTGGATCAGGCATGTGAGGAGGCGTGCTTCCCTGATGGTCAGGCATGGTCATTCCAGGGCCCTCCTCCTTTGTTTGCAAGGAAGAAGGACCTGTCACAACCATCAGTCCCCACTGCTACACTCTCTAGGTGACCAGTAGCCTATCGCTTTCCCCAGTTTATAAAAGAGAGATGACCAAGTATTACATAAAGGTCTAGTAATTTGAGTTGGTTCTTACCAAATGTCATGCTCAGGATTAGGGTCCAGCCCCAGCTGAGATCTCAGAGGAGTGGGTGGATATGGGGCAGGGAGCTGGAAGAACACTCAAGAGACAGCAGGTAAATGAGGCATAATTTTATTCAGCAGCTCCTTCACAGGGTGAGTGTTATATCTCTACACTACACAAACGGTAGTGGCTGAGAGCCAGGTGGTAAGCTTCTCTATGTTATGTCTACATGGCTATGATTATATAAGACATGGGACTGTGCGCTTGTGCCCAGATGCACTGAGTCATCGAGGCTGTTTACCTCAGCCTATGCCTGCTGCCCTGTGCCCACTTGGCTTCAGTACAGCCATGTTCCTTACACCAAATGCTGTCTTTAGTCCGCTATCTTTATAATGTCTTTACTTTTCTTGTAGGTGGGAAAGCAGTGTTTCCCTTGTAGCATTTATCATTCAGAAAGGGCCTCGATCAGTTTCTTATGCCCACCAAACAGATATGTTTTCTCTGGAAAACTTTCTGGAGTTGAGGAAGAATGAAGCAATGACTGGCCTCTTAGTGGTCTACTCCTGGGAACCCTCTCTGCAAGCTTTGCTCCTTTGTGCTTTATTAGCCTTTTAAACAAAGTGGTAGACAACATTCATTTTTCTAAATGACTATTTTTAACCTAATAAAGATGCCACATCGGACTGACAGCTGTAATTCCCCATAGTTCCACAGAAGGACTCTCCTGAATCTCCCCTTCTTCTTTAGCACTGGTACCATCAGCAGGGCCTCTGAGGAATTAAGTGCAGGTGGTGATGCCCTTCTTTTGTCTCCTATTCTCCCCTGGCCTATTGCAAGAGGTACCCAAAGAAGCAAAAGCTGTTTTTTAGTTGGAAGTCGTAACAATGACAGAGTGGTCTCTAGAAATGACAGAGGCTCCCTGGGTGTCTTTCACCAAGGAAGTCTTTCAAGACTCCATGCTTCCAGGTCACGACCAGGCAGATGTAAAGGGGGACAGGTCACTGGTGCTCACTGTACAGAATGCACTGAATTCCTGCTGGTTGTTTCAGTGGCAGATGGGCAGGCATTGCGTGACTGTAGTTGCCAATGGCAAATTAACTGCCTCTCACAAGCAGCTCTTTCCCCTGCAGCCCCAGGTTCCTTCTCGGGCAACTCAAGTAGTGGGAGAGTCGTTACAGCTAATGAACCACTGTTCACCTCCTGTAGATACCACAGCAATTCTTGACATCTGCACATATAAATTCCCAAAAGCCTGGTGCCTTTGTGATTATTACACTTAATGTGATCTGATATTTGTGGAGCTTCCTCATGGACAAGAATCTTAATCCGTATGTTCACCATCATTTCAATCAGTCATCACTGCTATTGTAAAATGGCTATGCATGTGAAAGCAGTTTTTAAAATCCATTGGAAAGTATCTTTTAATTAATTTTAATCAATTGAGGTAATGACAGAAACAGTTGTGTTTTTTCAGTTTCGCTACAGAACAAATATTAACATAAGGCCACATTTATGAAACAAAAGATGGAGAAGATGACAGATATTACAATTGGCAAATTTACCACAATGGAGGTGGGACAAGGAGGCTGCATTGGCTTCTATTTCAGGGAATCAGACCACTTGAATGCTTGCTCATCTTTGGTTTGTTGCTTTGAGATATTGTAAATCTATATTTCTAGACACTGACTGAAATTGACCAAGAGGAAAACATAAATTCTTGTTGACTTAATCTGCTATTGAAAATTGTAGTCAATAATCATGAAAAGTAAATAGCTGCACAGTGCAATATTAGTTGGCTAAGAAAATATTAAAATTCAAGTAATCTTCATTGATTAGTCTAAGACAGTAAGTAAAATGAAAATCCATGACCCAATTACCATGTTAAGCAGCTAGCATAAGGTTTCAGTTTTTCTGTTTTATTTGAAGTCTCAGACTATTTGATGATGCCCATTTAATGAACAGATAAATCAGTTTGAAAGCATGGGAGCACTTTTAGAATTGCAGATGTCTAGTAGGAATATGACAAAATAATATTTTTCAATGGAGTTTTGTGAAGTGGAGTACATCAGTAGTTCAATGTAACAATTTAAGATTAGAGGCTCATTATGCCTTGGCATTGAAGTAGAACATTCTGTATATACAATTTGCAATGTGTGTTACAATACTATTTAGTGCATTATTTATTTCTAAGTAATATATAACTATAATATTTCTTAAGAAAGTATTCTTCCACTGATTGTTTATTGTGCCATTTATTGCATGATTGTGCAGTTAAGTCCTAGGGCAAAGTAAGTAGGAACCATCCTGAAAAATGATGGGATTAAAGTCTGCATTGTATTTTCCATAAAAATCTAATTAACAGTAATCCTGAAAAGTTGAAAATGTCCTACTGTAACACACTCCATTAGACACTTACATTTGTCATGGAGTTCCGCTTCAAAGATATTAGTTTATTCTTGGATACATATGTATGCATATATCTATATTTATGTAGAAAGATATCTATATGCATTTTTATATATACTCTTCACCACGGGTTGAGGGATAGCAATTTAAATATTACTTCAGCTGACAATACTAGCATCATGGGGAAAATCAGAATAAAGAGAAATAAGACTTTATGACACCCTACACTTCTGTTTTCCACAGAAATAATTCATCCAGGAGAGCAAACAGAAGAAAGGAAGAAAAACTATTTCCTCCTCCACTTTCCCCACTGCCAGAGGACCCTCCACGCCGCAGAAATGTCAGTGGCAGTAATGGTTCCTTTGGACAAGACAAGAACATCTCCATGACTGGACAAATCACATCTACCAAACCTAAGAGAGCCGAAGGCAAATTCTGTGCTACTTTCAAAGGGATATCGGTAAACGTAAGCATCTTGGAAGAAATATTATAATTGTCAGGTAGCAATGAGTTAACCCAGCTCATCTAACTTGATCATTTGGGGATGTTGCAGGAGGAAGGGAGGAAGAAGCAGAGAAGAAATATGAGAAGCGGGTGTATACAAATACACAAACTCTCCATTATTTCTCTTTGTATAGTGCCTTGTATATTGTCACAAATAATTAGGTATTATAAATAATACAGATGTTATTATGACAATGATAATGCTTAAAAGAATCTGCAAAGTCATTTTCACAAGGGCTAAAATCTCCTGGGGAAACATGATAAATATATAAATATTTGCTACTAGAAATATATCATCCTTCTTAGGGAATGAGCAACAATGCCTCTTCTTAGGCCATTCTTTCTTTCTATTAATGATTTCAAATCTAGGAGACTCGTGGTATAATTTTTGCCTTAGCCTGTGAGTTAAGACACTTAACTCTTGTAGTGCCAGCACTGCATCAAATTTTCTCTGTGACTCTGGGCCAATCATGAAACATCTCTGAGATCATCAAATGAGTGGATTTGACTAGATGATCTATAGAGCTTCTTCTAGCTCCAAAAATGTTTACAATTTTGTGCTCACAGAGTCTTCTCTATTCCATTTATGCATGAAGTCCTGTTTATTGACTCAGTGGGTGAGCGAGTGTGGACAGATGACATGTTTATATAACTGATATGATCATGGCTGAATTCAGCCATTTCTAGTCAGATGTGCCAGGACTGACATCAATGCCATGTGTGGTGGATGTAATGTTTCAGGGTTCTTGCCACATATCTTGGCCATACAGACAAATGACACTGTCTTGGGCTGATCTTATTGTTTGGTCTAGGTCAAGCTGGCTGTGGCAGTGGAGACATGGAGCTGGCTTACAACTTTCTTATGGCTCTGTTTCGTTTAAAATGTTTGGGTTAAAAAAAACTCTTCATTTTCTTCAGATCCATCATAATAATTTGCAGATGCCTAGCTTCTCAGCACATTTGTCTCAGTAAGATCTAGGTGGTAAGACTTATTTGGTATTCAGAAGGTCCAGGATCAAGTGTAAAAGATCCACATAAATATAACAAATACATTTCACATTTGGCTTTTATCTTTAAAGTGACCATGTTGACTATGGCAAGTGTCCATGTATGTGTGCATACATGCACTCAGCAAACACTGAGGGTACTGGGCTGTGGGATGGAGGGACAGTATCATAAATCAGAGATGGCTCCAGTGCTTAAATAGCTCTCAGTCTAAAGTGAGCAATGAGATATGTGCTCAAAGGGCTAGAATATAAAATAGCTGGTGATTGGTGTCTTAGGGCAGGGATAGAGACAGGTCTCTGAATGGTCCAAGGAGAGTTAAAGCACGTCTGCACTTCTGGCTGTAGGTATAAGGTAGTTCTCCTGGTGGAGGTGGCATTTCTTGAGTTAAGCCTTAATAGATGAGTAGGGCTTAAAAATGAAGGGAAGTGGACAAAGAAAATGTGGTCTATTGATACAATGTAATATTATCCAGCCTTAAAAAGGAAGGAAATCCTGTCATATGCTACAACATGGATCAACCTTGAAGACATTATGCTAAGTGAAATAAGCCAGACATTAAAGGCCAAGACCATATGATCCCATTGATATGAGGTCCCTAGAGTAGTTAAATTCATATGAGGTCCCTAGAGTAGTTAAATTCATAGAGACAGAAAGTAGAATGGGGGTTGCAAGGGGATAAGGCAGAGGGTAAATTGGGAGATATTGTTTAATGGGTACAGAGTTCCAGTTTTGCAAGATGAAAAAAGTTCTGGAGATTGGTTGCACAAGAGTGTGAATATACTTAACATGACCGAACTGCACACTTAAGAATGGTCAAAATGATAAATTTGGCTGTGCGCAGTGACTCACGCCTGTAATCCCAGCACTCTGGGGGGCCGAGGCAGGCGGATCATGAGGTCAAGAGATCGAGACCATCCTGGCCAACATGGTGAAACCCCGTCTCTACTAAAAAATACAAAACTTAGCTGGGCGTGGTGGTGCACATCTGTAGTCCAAGCAACTCTGGAGGCTGAGGCAGGAGAATTGCTTCAATCCAGGAGGCGGAGGTTGCAGTGAGCCGAGATCACGCCATTGCACTCCAGCTTGGCGCCTGGTGACAGAGCGACACTCTGTCTCAAAAAAAAAAAAAAAAAAAAGTGATAAATTTTATTATATGTGTACTTCACCACAATTTTAAAAATTTTAAAATGTGATAAAAATAATAAGGGGAAAAAATTATCACAAGGTAGTGGAAAAAAGCGAAATAAAGGAATGGAAGGCTTTTTGAAATCTAAAACTTCACATGTACCAAATCAGGAAAGTGAAAAAAGCAGGGGCATGTTCAATTCAGTTGAAACTAAGGTTTATGGAAGGGAACAGTTGCAATTGGGCAGAAAGCTGCAGCCAAATCAGGTAGGTCTTTGAATGCCAGCAAGGGAGCCTCAGCCTTGAGTTTGCATTTGAGTGCGGGACAGACAGATGCTAGTAACTTTGTTCAGAAAGCTCAAGCTACCAGACAGCAGATTGAGGCCGGAGGGAGAAGCATGCTCAAGGGTTAAGAGTCCAGCCAGGGGACTCCGGTAGTCTCCGTGAGAAGCCATGAGGGCCTGCATTTTGAGGCTTTGAGGAAGAAAGGGACAAATTCGAGAGATGTTGGGGAAATACATTTAAAAGGAGTAATTAACTGTAATTAACTGGTAATGTTGAGGAAGAAAAATGACAAATTAAATAGAGCAGTAGTTTTCAAAAAGAGTTTTAGGAGGATTATCATTTTTCAAAATGAAGTAATTTATACAACTTCAATATATAAAGCTGATTAAAGCAGAGCAGCTCAGACGGAAGGAAAGGTGGGGAGTCCCTATTTTGCAGGTTTCAGTGCCCCTTGCCCAGATACTACTGCAATTACCTGGGTAACTGTGCAAAACTCAGTTTGGAATTTTTAATTTTTTTTTTTTTTTTTTTTTTTTTGAGACAAAGTCTCGCTCTGTCGCCAGGCACCAGGCTGGAGTGCAGTGGCGCAATGTCAGCTCACTGCAACCTCCGCCTCCCGGGTTCAAGCAATTCTCCTGCCTCAGTCTCCCGAGTAGCTGGGACTACAGGCGTGCACCACCACGCCCAGCTAATTTTTGTATTTTTAGTAGAGATGGGTTTTCACCATGTTGGCCAGGATGGTCTCGATCTCTTGACCTCGTGATCCGCCCGCCTCGGCCTCCCATAATGCTGGGATTACAGGCGTGAGCCACCGCACCTGGCCCAGTTTGGAATTTTTTATCAATATGGAGAAATTCTGCTTTGATAACTAGGGAATACCATCCTGCCATCAACAGGAAGAGGGAATTGGTTTGATTATTGATTTGGTTTGTGAAAAATTTGAGGTGCTAATGGCCACGTTGGTGGAATTGTCCTAAGATGGTCACTGTAGGCTGGAGCTTTGGAGATTGGGTAAAATTGAGGTTTCCATTTGGGTGTTACCTACTTATTGTTGAATCTGTGCCAACAACATACAAGATTCACAGATCATATCAAGAATGAAGAGAACTGAGAAGTGAACTTGGGGAATACCAACCTTAGGGAGATACCAATTCAGAAGAGCAGAAGGTAGAGGAGACACCCTGGGAAGCATGGTCAGAGAGAGAACAGTCAGGAGAGTCCCACAGTTGCCAGGGGTGGGCGGGCACGGTTGGCCACTTGAACACAGCAGGTGATCTCGTGATAACACACTGTCACATAATCTTACCACCTCCTTTCTCCATCCTCTCCATACCAATAACAGTTCAAAGCTTACTCATTTGACTTTGGACCTGGCAGAAATGAGGCTTCACCATCCCAAGATTTCAAAACAAAATGGAGACACACTCACATGCCATTCACTTAGCCAGAAACCAATCAAGCGCCTCACATGAAAAAAAGGGCTGCTTCAACCTCAGTTCAGTCAGGGCAGGGATAACTAGAGTACAGTTTCCTGGTATTTTCTGGACTGTATCTGGTATTTTGCAGAGTGACCTGAGGATGCTACTTACCCTGAAGAAAGCTTCTGGGCTTGTTCCCTTATCACAAATACCCACATCAGGGTCAAGGGCTTTATTTAATATCGCTATGTCTCTCTCCCTCCCTTTGTCCATGCATCTCTTCCTTTCTCCCTCCCTCCTCCTCTCTCCTCTATATTCTTCCTTCCCTTCCCCCTCACATTTACCGTTGGATTTAGCCCTTTGCCATTGCGGTCTTAATGGTGGAACTGTGTAATCGCAGCATCTGATTAGGTTGGTGTTTGGTATCATCATAGAACAAAAGCTGTTGATTCATGGTGTTCATAAAATATCCAGGGTCACCTATTTATCCTCAAGCTGTGTGAATTATTTTCTTTTCCTTTTTTTTTTTTTTTGCCTTTTTTCTTAACGTGCTTGACATTCAAAACATTTATGAAAAGATGTTTTGAAAAGCTGGAACTAATGGAAACTATTTGTCCTCCTTTTTCCCAGGAAGGAGAAACTCCAAAAAAGGCAGCCTCTGCCACCGTCACTGTCACCAACACTGCTATTGCCACTGCCACTGTCACTACTACTGCCATTGTCACCACCACTGTCACAGCTACTGCCACCGCCACGGCCACCACCACAACTACTACCACTACCATTTCCACCGTCACCTCTACCATCACTACTGGCCTCATGGATAGCAGTCACCTGGAGATGACGTCCTGGGCAGCTCTGCCCCTTCTTTCCAGCAGCAGCACTAATGTCCGGAGACCCAAGCTCACGTTTGATGACTCGTACGTTGTTCCTGATTATCGTGGACAGTTTGGAGTAGTGAATGGGGGTGGGGGCGGCATGGCTTTTCTAGTGCTATGTATATGTCTCCCTAAATAAGACCTCAGCATCAGCTCCTATACCCTTAAAAGTATACCCCTCTCCCTGCTGCATACACTGTCCCCACCAAGAAATGTTTTGGGCCCATTTTAATCATGCAGCATTGTTACTGTTCCAAAGCAGGTGCAAATGCAGATTGTTTTATCCTTTCCTATCCATGTCCTCACATATAACCAACACACGATTTATAGCCAGGTTTTGTTTGATCTATTTGGACAACTGTAATGGTTGGGGTTGGAGGATGTGGTTATTTATCCTAATGGGCCATTATGTACTTCAGATTTCATTTATAGTATTAATTCAAGTTTGGCTATGATATGAATGGCAGCATTAGTCTGCCTTTTTCAAGGCATTATATGGGAATAAATTTATAGCAGAAAAGGTTTGATGATTCAGTCTTTTAATGAAAAGATGAAGCACTGGTTTCTGAAAGACCTCGTTTTGTTTATTTAGGGTTCACAATGCTGATTATTACATGCAAGAGGCTAAGAAGCTGAAGCACAAAGCTGATGCACTGGTAGGTTTCCTTTTTCTCATCGCTTTGTTTCCACTAAGGATTTATGTTTCAAAAGAAAACAAAGAAAGCAGTTTTCCAAACAGGTTTTCGGTAGCACAGCCCAAACCTGCCTGGCAACACATTGGTGCCCTGGCATAGGGAGGTTGGAACTGGTGAATTACTTAGCTCTGTAATTCCCAAAGTTCTCAGGGCTGTGTTAGCTTGTCATTTGTTTTCCCACTGTTCTTCCCCTTACCCCAACTTCAGAGGCTAATGTCATATCTTTCAAGTGAATTTGAAATGACTTCTAAAACTTCCCTGGAAAGGATGCTCTCTTTGGGTCCAGTAAACCAGAACTCACGTGGGAATGGGAAAGTCTATATGTCCTCAAAAATTGGCTTTGGGAAAACTAGGCCTGAGGAAAAAGTCAGCTCCTTGCTGCATTGATGACATGTTTTCGGAGTGAGCCCCACAGTTAAGCTGGGACCCCAAGCAGAGAAAAGAAATGCTGTCATCTGGATTTCTCAAGATACTTTGCCCAGCTGTCTCCAAGGGTTTGGGCCACCTCGATCAATAATATGCTCAATATTTTGAGTTGTTTGATTTGATTGAGGCTCCTAATAGTGGGTCTCAACCACACATCACATTGGGAAGCTTTAGAATAACTCTGATGCCTAGCCCATACCCCAGACCAATGAAATCAGAATTTCTGGGACTGGGACCCAGGAATGAGTATTAAAGCTCCCCAGGAGATTCCCAAGTGCAGCTATTTGAGAACCACTGTCCTAGGGAGTGCCTAATCCAGGCTTCTCACTTTGACTAAACCCCATTGGGTTGAAAAAAATAGCATCCTCAAACATTGCATTGTGTCCAGCTAGGACTTAGTTGTCCCAGTAGTGTTTAATATTGGGAATACTGTGATGAAATACCATGACTACTGTGTGGCCAACATCAACTGTCCATGGTTCTTACATCTGTCTTTTCTCTGCTTTCTGTCATTTCCCCCCGGGGTACAAATTGCTTAGCGTCTGCAGCTAACCTTTCTGTGGTGTAAATTGTTCCTTAGAAACAATTTTCCCCTGCTCCTGCAAACAAAAGTGACAAGGAAGGCTGGGTGCTAGCTCCATTGGAGATGCCAGGACAACTGTGCCTGTGACCATTATATGGGCGATGAGAGATTTGAAAGGTATTGGATGCCAACACTGCTGCCTCAAAGACCGAAGGTGTTCTCTAAATGCCTTCAACTCTGTGGCACTACAGAGCACTCCAGTGCTCCTAGGGTTTTCCCTCTGTCAAAACTGGGGTTAGAGAGTATGCACATGTTCCTTTGACAAGCTGTTACATGAGCTGATGAAGACTGGGATGTACGTATGAGACCACGTAGATGAAATGCTTGAAGAACTGAGAATGCTCAGTGCCATAAACATATAGACATACGATTATTAACTAACATCACTCTACATTCCAAGGTTGTGTTTATATGTATGTCTTCCAAGAGATCACATTTGGCCTAATCCATTTAGAGGATGCACTCTCAGTTCAGGAGATACTGCCCATATGGGGGCAAAAATTGGTTTCAGAGAGGGGATGAAAAGGTCTTAGTTATTGCAATGGGGTGTTACCCTCCAAAGGGCCACAGGGCATAAAGAGAGGATAAGTATAATTTTTGTATTAAAATTTCATTGGAGGTACATGAAAAATTACAGTGATCCCTCTGTATCCATAGAGGATTGGTTCCAGGACCCCCTCAAATACCAAACTCCTCAGATGCTCAAGTCTCTGATAAAAAATGGCCATTTGCATATAACCTGTTCACATCCTCTAATATGCATTAAATCATCTTTAGGTTACTTATAGTATCTAGTAGAATGTAATGCTATGTTAAGAGTTGTTATACTGTATTGTTTAGGGAATAATGACAAGAAAAAGTCTGTATGTGGTCAGTGCAGATGCAGCCATTCATTTTTTTCTGAATATTTTTGATTTAAGGTTGGTTAAATCCATGGATGCAGAACCCCAGATACAGAGGGCTGACTGTATCTTAAAATTTCCTTAGTTGGGGCGGGTGGTATTGAAAAAAAGGTTGAGAAACACTTAGAGGAATGATATTTTTGCTAGGCTTATGCCTATATTGGCCTGGGAAGCACCCTTGTAGTTTAAGCCACTCATTTTATGGATAGGGAAATAAGCCCAGGGGTGGGGCATAACTTGGCTATTAATTGTCACTATGGCCATGTAATTTTTTGTCTGGATATCAGCTACTCCTAGGGAAAAAGGGGTTTAGGCTAGGTGATCTTTCCAGATCTTTCCAGCTGTAGGCTTATGAATGAAAAGCCACTTTCAGAAATCAGGATCTAAGATTAATTTCCAAATGCGAAAGCCAGTGGAGCCAGATGACCTAAGGAAATTACCTTGCAAGGCAAAAGAGAAAGGACCTAGTTTGCATATATGTACACAGGGCTTCATGAAGTCAGTTTGAATTTGATTGAAACTGGTATTTCTCCACAGTAGCTTACAGAAAGAAACCGACAGAATTCCTGCAGTTCGTTAAAGCTAAAGAACATTTATTGTAAAAAGTCATTTAGAATATTCTGCAGGACCTATAACTAATCATTTTATAGTTGTACTTAATCCTTTGCTAGAGACATCCACTCTGCCATTTAGAGAATTGAAACTTTCACAGTTGCATAGAAAATATTTTGATAAAAGGTATACGAGAAAATTAAAATAGCTAAATCTGCATTATATTCGTTCTTTTACATAAAATGCCATATTAGTGGAATTCTTACATCCTGCTATCAAAAATTGAAAATGTTAAATCCTGTTATAAAATACTCACTATAAAAGTGTCATATATAATATTCATTACACATAAAAAAGAAATCAGTATGTCTAAGTCAGTTTAATTGTGACCATTATCAGGGCTAAAATCTTGGCAATAAAATTTTGCTAAACTAAAACATTTAGTGGTACTATATTCTTTGGCTTTTTGACACATTATTTCAAACCATCATTTACAATAAAAGTGATGTGATTATTGTCAACAGTCATACTACAGCTTCCCGCTTTTCATGACAATATCATCAATTTGTTAATCCTCTCCTGAGGGTGAGGTTGATGTGCTCACGAAGAGTTCTAAAGCAAAAATGTATGTGTTCATTGTCCATGAAGCTTATAAAAAGCAGCCCTTAGTTGCAACTACTGTCTATAGGACACTACAATGACCAGACAGTTAGTAAATTTAGTGGATAGAAACTACTTGAGGCAATGATTTTTATTCAGGTCCACCAAAAAAATAATGATAACAGCAACAACAGTGCCACAAACCACATATGATACCCTGCCTGCGTTTTTCTCCTCTCAACTAGCCTTGGTGTCATGACGATAGAACAATTAGCCAGTAACTTCATTGTTAATACCAATTCATATGTTGTCTTCTAGATCTGGGTTTCTTAGCCTGGGCACTGCTGACATTTTGGGCCAGCTCATTCTCCATTGTGGGAGCTGTTTTGGGCATAGCAGGAAGTTTAGAAGCATTTCTGGCCCCTGTTCACCAGATGTCCCTTCTCCCCAGGGGTGACAACTAAAAGTGTCTCCAGACATTCCAAATGTTCCCTGTGGGAAGGGGGCAAAACTACCCCCCAGTTGCAAACCACTCTTTTATATGAAGGAGAAAACAGAGTATCATCTTGACAAGTCATCTTCCTGTTTCAGTTCGAGAAATTTGGCAAAGCTGTGAATTACGCTGACGCCGCCCTCTCCTTCACTGAATGTGGCAATGCCATGGAACGCGACCCTCTGGAAGCAAAGTCGCCATACACCATGTACTCTGAGACTGTGGAGCTCCTCAGGTGAATGGCCTTTCTGCAATCATCTTCCTACACTGATTTCAGCTAGAATTAGAAACTGTGTTTTAGAATATATATCATTTTTTCTTATTAATAATTTGTCCAAGGCATCTTCTTAGAAGTCATCATAATTAGTTCTTGCCATTTTATTAATATCATGAAAAATTTATAATTGATAGACACTGATTTTATAAATTATCCCCTTCAGAATTTATAATGTGAGTGTTATAATTTGCGGTATTCGTAACATTAAAATGGAAATGTAGTGGGTAGAAGTAAGTATAATCATTTTACCATTTAGTATCAACTTGTCTTTTCAAAGGTGCAGTTTTATAATTCAAAAAAATGGTGCTCTCAGGATTTCTATTACAAACCATGTTGTCTAAGAATTTTTATCTTGGTTATTAAAAACGGAGGGGGCGCTGTTCCAACTCAAAGTTGGTGTTTAAGGCTGCAGGTGTGGAGTAGACTTTCCATGCATCTGGAATTAGGAAAATAGATGAGGTGGTAGTAGGGGCTGGTGGTACAGATGAGACAATGAGAATGGGAGAGGGGAAATTAACTGCACACATTATTGGTTGCATTTACATTTTAAATGAAATTTTCTGGCTGTTGATCTTGGTGGTGTAGAATTTCTGGGTTATCAAAAAATTCATAGAAGAAGAGGAATAAGAGGTAGAAGAAGAAATAATCCATTCTGATGTTATCCAGTAATTTGCAGATATTTGTACAATAATTTAATCCACCCTTGAATGGTAGATAGGCACCATTGTTCACTAGATGAACTAAATAATCACTTTTGATTGATTAAGTAAGCAGTTTTTTACCTAAAATGTCCTTATGTCCAGTCCCATCTGGCTTGATTAATCAATAATGCCAGGACTGGTTTATACTGTCTTGCTTGTATTTGCATTAACTGTTACAAATCTGAGGATATTTGTACCTAAATCTTCAGAAAAACGTTGGACAGATTTAGTGTGTGTATTTTCCCAGTGACACATTCCAAAAGATAAAAAGAAGAGAACTATTAAAAAAAAAAAAAAAAAAAAAAAAAGCAACTCTCCTCACATAGAATCAGAAGTTTACTTAGAACCACAAAAGTAGGGTGATTATAGGTGCAGCGTTAGCCTTGCCTGCTGAGTCAATCAGCCAGCTTTCTCTTTGCACTGCTCTGAAATGTGGGCACCAAAAAAAGTGTCAAGCATTTCTCCTTGACTTACGTTATATACTGTGGAAGGCACCACTACCACTCTGTAGCTTTCAAGAAGAAATTGATTGCTTAGTGTCTAGTCAAAACTACCTGTGATTTTCAAAGATACACAAGATGAACATACTGGCAAAAATTGTAAGGATTCAGAATTGAGGGGAAACATTAGTGAACAAACACTGGGATAATTCATGGTCTGCATTCATTCAAAAATGCAAATTAAAACAAGGCACTTTTTAAATTAACAAGAAAATGTAACAATGTTAATACCTAGCATTAAGAACTACAGCAAAGGCCGGGCACGGTGGCTCACGCCTATAATCCCAGCACTTTGGGAGGCCAAGGCGGGTGGATCACAAGGTCAAGAGATCGAGACCATCTTGGTTAACATGGTGAAACCCAATCTCTACTAAAAATACAAAAATTAGCTGGGCATGGTGGCACACGCCTGTAGTCCCAGCTACTCGGGAGGCTGAGGCAGGAGAATTGCTTGAACACAGGAGGCAGAGGTTGCAGTGAGCTGAGATCGTACCACTGCACTCCAGCCTGGGTAACAAGAGCAAAAGTCCGTCTCAAAAAAAAAAAAAAAAAAAAAAAAGAACTACAGCAAAAAAATGCCTGACAGTGAACTACACCTCTCCTATGCAGCTGACGGGAATAGAAATTGATTATTGTAAATTGAGGGCAATTTGGCATTGTGTAGGAAAAGCCATACAAATGAGTATTCATATCTTTTGATCCAGTACCTTAACTTGTAAAACTCTGAGTTTTCTCTCCTGATGAAAACAACTGTAAAGACTAGAACAAGTAATCAGTATGATGTTCAATTTGACATTATATATAATAGCACACAATTGGAAGCACACCAAATAATAAAAGAAAAGTAATTACATACTAGGACACTCAACAGAATACTTTGCAACCATTGAAATACAACAATGACAGAGACTATGCAGCCGCAAAAAATGTATTTATAATATGATGTTAAAATAAAATCAAGCTGGAGAATAATCTGCGCATTACAATTATGATCATGAAAAGTTTGTATATGCATCCAAATCAAACTGGAAGGGAAATGAGATCCCACCTGTAATAGGTGAGTGAGATTATGAGTGTTTTCCGTTTCTACATATTCTTTCTTATTTTCTTTTAAGAAAACACATGCTGTCTTAAAAATATAAAAGTAAAATACAAATTTTATTTTATGGCAAAAGTGCAATGTGAATCATTAAGTATTTTTCCTTAATTATTCACAAAAAATTTATTTAGGGAAAAAGCATGATTTATGTTTTATTATATGATATTTTACTCTCATAGAAGTTTATTTCATTGAAACCTGAAAGTCAATGGAGAATTTATGGGCATTCACTTTAAAGTTACCGTTCTTAGACTTTATTTTGAGGTAATTGTAGATGCACATGCAGTTGTAAGAACTAATACAGAGAGTTTCTGTGTGCCCTTCACCCAGTCTCCCCCAATGGGAACATCTTGCTTTACTATAGTACAGTATCACAGCCTGAACATTGACATTGATATACTCCACAGACATCATTCAGATTTCATCAGTTTTATTTTGTTTTGTTTCCAGCTTCACCATTTTTTGCATGTACTCATTTATGTCTTCTCAATTTTTAAATTTTTTATACTTTCTGTAAATTACATGTGTGTATAATATTTTTTTAATGAGAGGAATTTCAGTTGGGACTAAAATGAGTTAAAGCAACTAGGTCTTCTGGTCCATTTAAGCAATCGAAACTCCACTATCAAGTCACTTCAAATGTGGTTGCAATTAGAGGGTGACTGTAATATAAACATAGTTTTTAGTAGTGCAATATTATGTTGAAGAGATTTTTATTACTCTCTCCCCAACAGTATGCTGGCTACAGAGAGAGAACCCCATTTTCTTCATTCAAATAATTATAGTTGCTCTGAACTCTGGGAATCTGCAATAGAAATGTATTTGTGAAAACAAGTGGGGCATCACAATTACTTGACATTTCAGTGATCCAACTGTCAAAGAAAGTTAGATTTATTACATAATAAAAATCCCTTTGCTTAATATTGCAACAAAAGAAAGGACCCACATTAAATGTACAGGTGCCTTTCCTGGAAAATGTTCACTCAACAGAACTGGAGCAATAACCAGGAAAGCAAGGTGGCTACAATGCTGAGGAGGGCGAGTCTCAGAGGGTGAGCCTAGGCTCCCTAGTGTTCTGCTGGGGAAGGCTGCTGTAACCGAGGAATCAAGCATGCCAGCTCAGGGGCTCTGCAGGCTTTCCATTGCCTTCTTATAAATGAGAACTTTCAACTTCCTTCTGGCACACTGAACTCTATTACTTATTCTACAACAAGTACCTGTGAAACTGCATTAAAGCTCAGACAATGATTTTATGCAATGAATTGATTTTCAAGAGTCTAAATGCCGTGAATGGAATGTACTTGGCTAGAAGAAAAAAAAAAAAAGTGGGAACTACTCAACCTTTTATCACCCCAGTGCAGAACAGTAACAATTAAGGAGAATAGAAAGACAAAATATACAGGCATCATAAATTAAGGGTGCTTAGACCTTAAAATGCTGTGAAATCAACCTTCCTTCTAAAAAAACTAAACCACTTTCAATAGAAATATATTCAAAACCTGAGCCATTAGAAAAGACCTTTTAACTGTATGATTGAGGTCTTGCTGTGCTCATGTCAGACATAGTTGTATATTATTTACCTAATCTGTCATAAACTGAACTGAAACTGACATTCTTGTCCACCTCTCATTGAAAACCAATAATGTTGTTTAGCTATAGTTTTCCTAGAAACAGTATTTTATCAGCATTTAGATACACACATGCACACACACACACACACAAGCTCACAGTAATTGCACAGCATTGCCCTAAGGCTCATGATTACACTGCCTTCTCCAGAGATCAACTCTGTATTTCACATGAGTCCTCTTATGACGCTTTGATCCCCATTTTGTGTATATTTCGGGAAAGCATGCTTTCGCCCGCATGCACCAGTCAGTCTTGTTGCCCAGAGCAAATGTGAGAATAACTCATTCAGGCAATCAGAATACCAATGACTTTGGACATTTCTGAGGCATAATACAGATTCCACTTCAGCTTTTCCTTCTCTTCAAAGGTATGCGATGAGGCTGAAGAACTTTTCAAGTCCCTTGGCTTCAGATGGGGACAAAAAGCTAGCAGTACTATGGTGAGTCCTGTGGAGGCCACAAGGAAAGTGCTGAAATGTCATAGAAGGATTTGAAAACTCTAAATCAACTTAAGCTGCTTACCCCAGATCATTACTCTTGTTTTCCATTAAAGTATTAAAGGATAACTAATAGATTTCTTCAGTCGCTGACTAAACATTTACTCTCCTAATTTATACCCTTATCAAAATGGGATTTTCATGCTTGCCCCTTCTCTTTTTAGAATTTATTTACTTATGTTTCTCAATCTAACCATAGGAGAGTAACTGTAAATTGTGAATCAGCATTCTTCTTAACAGTTTATAAATTTCATTAAGCGCTGGCATTAACAGAAGACTTTCCTTATCACCACAGCTACCGATGTTTATCACTCCTCTATTTGAGGATGTTTAAGCTGAAGAAGGACCATGCTATGAAGTACTCCAGATCACTGATGGAATATTTTAAGGTAATCTTTATTTTATATAATTTATAGGTACAAGATGATAAAATCACTAATAAGACATGACATGCATGTTATCAAATGTCAAATCCTGCCAAAGGCTTAACCTCTCTCCTCCCTACTGGCCATGGCCCTCTTACCCCTCCTTAAGGGTTCAGCAAGGAGTTTATGTCTGATTTGATTCCAGGGAGAGAAGGCATGATAGTGCAATCCCTTATTTTCCAGACTTAGCAAATGACCCTTGGCAGCCTTCTGGTTGCATTGAGGAGTATGTCACCTTTTGTGCTGCTCCGTGATGTGGGCACAGCTTGTGGCTGTAGGTATGTCCAGTCTTTTGTTAAATGATAGGTCAGCCTAGGAATCTCTCAGAAGTGAGAGAAGTCACTGTGGCCACCCTGGCTCTGTGTGGACACCCACACCCCTAGAAGGCCTTTGGCCGTGGGGAGTCTTGGAGTGCAGTAGTTGTAATTTAAAGAACTGATTGCTTTGATTACCAAAACAAACAGGGCCATATTGTAGGGAGCTGGGGCTTTTAACTTGCAAGCACAAAAAAGATAGGCAACCACAAAATGCAATGCTAAAATTTGAGAATGAGTCCAGGTAAAAATTTCAAGCAGCAGCCTCATACTAAGCCTGGTCACTGTACCCTCTAACACTAGTCATGATTTAAAGTTAGTGAGACTCAATGTTCTTCTCTTGCGCAGGTCTAAAAAGAAAAGGACATTTTTTTTTTTCTTTTTTTGCCAAGTACATGAGACTTCATGGCTAAATCACACCAGAGTAGTTGTTTGAAATGAGCGAAATTATGGCCTTACATGAAACATGCAGTGAGTTTAAGTGCATAGCTTTATGAAGACCCTGTGGCATGGTTGGGAAAAAGAGCAAGTTCCCCAGCTATTATGTGGTGTGGCCATAATCCCATACAGCTAGTATTCATGTGGGTAAAAGGGGGTCATCTACAACAGGCCCTCTTCCCTCCATATGTCTACGCTCTCAACCTCTGCTTTAGAAAGTTCTTTCTTGAACTTCAGTGGGCATCAGAATCCCCCAGAAGCCTTGTGAAACAAGAGTCCTGTGCACCAGGCCCCGGGTATCTCATTCTGTAGGTCTGAGGCAGGGCCCAAGAATTCATATTGCTAATAAGTTTCCAGGTGACGCGGCTGCTGCTGTTCTTCTGATCACACTTTGAGAGACACTGCTGTAATGTTTGCCCTCTTTGGCCTGTCCTATATAGTTTGTAGGGTATTGCAAAACTCCAAACAAAAATTAAATAATTCATTTATCTAGGAGTGTTTTGAGCTTTGTTGAGGTTAAAAACTGGAATCTGCAGAATGCATCTTAGGTGTGGGTCTGCAACACTCCAGAGAAATATTCCATTTTCATTGTACTCCTGAAAATGCTGACTCTTTCCCTGACACTCCTTTTACAAAGGGGGCTGGGCTGGCAGCAAAGAGGCAGAAGATGAGCATCATTGGGGCTGTAACTGCTGAGAGCAGGTCTGAGTCAGGCACAGTGCCACATGAGTTGTGGCCATCTATGCTGCTTAACCTTCAACTTGGGGAGGCCATTACAATGAGCCTGATGCCTGTCCTCTAATGGTAATGCTGAATGTCAGGTTTCCCCTCTGATCCACAAGTGCGTGGCCATGAGAATAAAAGGAGACCCATCCTTTAAACCAGCCCAGTTCCATCGGAGGAACAAAAGCATGCTTAGCATTTGATTGCAACGCAGACCAGTCACTTTGTTAAATAAATATAGCAAATCAAGGTGATTCCTGAAAACAAACAAACAAATGAAAATGCTGCTTGGCTCTGACACATTCTTGGATTATTAGAAATTACAGCTCACTCTGCATCCCAGGGAAAAAGTTTGCAACTGGAGCTAAAGGTGAAAAGCTTACTTCTACTCCGAAGAGCTTGTTTTGCAGAATAAATTTCAGATGATGATAATTAAACCACTTCTTGGAGAACTGAGTCTGATTTCACTGGGCCTTTTAGTATATAAGATCTTTCATCAAGTGACTTTCATGGTCCTGATTGGAGCCCACTAATTATCCTAACCAGCTATTTTCATCGAGTATGCGTCGTGGTGTGCTGACGTGCACATACATCCCCGCTCTGCATCCCGAAATGCTGCAATCAATATTAATGTACTCTAAATCACACTTCCATCTGTTTCTGAATTAATAAAACACAAAATAGATGTCCTTATTTCCCTTTCTCTCTCTCTTTTAGCAAAATGCTTCAAAAGTCGCACAGATACCATCTCCATGGGTAGGCAATGGAAAGTAAGTATTTTATGAAAATTGATTTTACATGACAATGAGTGATTCAATAGACCCCAAATATTTTGCATTGACAACTCAGGAGTGAAGGTCAATTCTAAAACTACAGTCATTTTTGTGCATACAAAATTCTAGCCATTAAAAAGATGTGGTTCAGAGTTATTTCACTATTTGATCTTTAAGCCAAATTATAGTCATAAAAATGTTTGCTAATAAGATGGCAAGCGCCATGCCATTTTAGGAGACAGGAAAAAGTTAACTCCACTGCAGTGATTTGTCAGTGATTCATTCAATAATGAAAGACCAATGAAATATTCATTCATATATGGTAAGTGCTGTTTAATAAAACCAAAGGCATAATAGTGCTGAAAATGTGAAGGCACTTGGTCAGGCAATTATCCAAGGCTTCATGATAATTTTTATATTAATACTAAAATGCCCTGACCTAAGATAGAAAAGCATCTACTATAATGCTGATTGGAGACTCAGGGAACTCACCTGTGCCTAGGCCTTATTTAGAGTTATATCTGCTTGGGACAGCTCAGTCTTCACAGCAGTGGGGTAGGGTCACCAAAATCATCGACCTGTTGCTGAAGTTGCCCTTGGCTTACAGGGTAAGCTAAGAGGGTCCTTGCCTCTATCTGGGCTTGTGCTTTATCACTAAAATTAAGGGTTTGGACCCAGTGCCCTCCAAAGCCCACTGAAGAGATGTCTCTTATGGAGAGCGAGTTTGAATCCCAGCTCTGTCTCAGCCATGAAGTTAGATAACTTTCCTGAGCATCGTTTCTCCTCTGTTTCTCAATCCCCCCTCACCAGCCCAAGCCAACACCCCCTAGTAATGGTAAGGGAAAGTAGATGACTGTGCACATAGGCCATTTTACAACTCCAAGCTGCTTTTTCAGTTTTTCATCATTTCAAAATTCCTGATCTCTGATCAAAAGAATTTCTTCAAGAATGAAACAGTCTCTACTGCCACTTCATAAATATCTACAAAACATACTCCAAAAGCAATGGGACAATGAACTCCACCTTGAGATCATAAAAACCTTCAGTGCAAGGGAACAGCTCCATTGAAAACTACACATTAACTCAATTATTGCATTGAAAGGAAGCACTGTTTAAAAAGTTGAATTAGGTCTTACTCTTATATTGATGAACAAAAGGGAAAGAGTGCTTCTCTCTTAAGAGAAAAAATAAGTTCAGAAAATAAAAACCCAGAGAAAGCTGTTTTCTCTGAGCACAGAGTAAAGCAAGGGCAAGGGCAGGTAAGCAGCTAGTAAAGGATCACTGGAAAAAAAAATGCTTTTTAAAAAAAATTCTGAAACGAAAGAACTCAAACACATCCTAAGCTGTGAAGTCGCATGAAAAGCCTCCTGAAATGATTTTTTAGTAGCTTCTGCATAAAGAAAGCACATTCCCTTAGGTAGGCCACAGAGCTTTTGAGTGAGGCAACTCAAAACAGTCACTCAGGGGTTATGTCCCATTCATTCAGCAAATGCTGTGAGTGTATCTGCAGCATGAGGGGCTGGGGACAGAAGGCTGAATTTGATGTGGTCCCTGCACTCCGGAAGCACTCAGCCCAGTGGAAGGAGGTGACAGATATGAACAAGGTGCTGTGGAAGCCTAGGAGAAGGATCTGGGGCCTCCCTGCGTAGCCAGGAAGGGCTTGCTTTTTGTTTGAAAGCAAGATTATGGCCTGGTCTCTCTGTGAATGAGGGTAGTGTGCCCCTGGAGGGCCTCTCATAGCACCTTCTAGCAGCATCCTCTGACTTCAAACTCTCGGAGGCTGGCTAGCAATTGGGGAAGTCAGTTGCCCAGAAGTGGTTAAAGCCTCTGCAGGAAATTATATGGAGAAATGAGCAGAGAGTTGAGAACAGACATTCAGGAACTGCTTCCAAGGAAGCTGGGGAAAGAAAGTGCAAAGAAGCAATTGGAAGAAGGAGCAGAAAAATCTGGGTTTACAGCAGGGGCCAGCAAACTTTTTCTTTAAAGCACCAGACACTACATATTTTGGGCTTTGTACCAAGAGGCAAAACCAAGGCTACTATTTAGAAAAACATGAGAGAAAACAAGATTTCACAAAATTTTTCCTGATTAGATTCAAAATATAATAATATAAATTTTGATGTACAAGTCTATTGGTAAGAAGAATGTAAATCTTTTTTATAACATTTTGCTTAATTGGGGTTCAAAGTTAGTTTTCCCTCTCAACAAATCAATTGCAAATGTTCATCTTTTGCAAACTACTCTTAGCTCACAGGCCATACAGAAATAGAAGATGGGCCAGATTTGCTGACTCCTGATAAAGGGTTCTGGAATCCAAATTGTTGAGAGTTTTAAAAGTCTGAGCAACAATTTCGAATGTCATCAAGAGTTAATAAAAAAAAACAGAAGGCTGTCGTGGTACATGCCTGTAGTCCTAGCTACTAGGGAGGTTGAGGTGGGAGGATCTCTTGAGCTTGGGATGTTGAGGCTGCAGTGAGCTGTGATCCTGTCACTGTGCTCCAGACTTGTTGACAGAGCAAGACTCTTTCTGGAAAACAAGGCAACCAGGAAAGCTATAGAATTTTGGAAGAAGACCATTTGAGGCTTTCAGATGAGCTTTTTTAGTAAGCAGGTAGATGTGGAGTCTGTATGAAAAGAGCTAGTGGCCGGGCGCGGTGACTCACGCCTGTAATCCCAGCACTTTGGGAGGCCGAGGCAGGCATATCATGAAGTCAAGAGATAGAGACCATCCTGGCCAACATGGTGAAACCCCGTCTCTACTAAAAAACAAAAATTAGCTTAAAAAACAAAAATTAGCTTGGCATGGTGGCACGCGGCTATAGTCCCAGCTGCTCGGGAGGCTGAGGCAGGAGAATTGTTTGAACCCAGGAGGCGGAGGTTATAGTGAGTCCAGATCAAGAAAAACCTTCTCTTTAAGCTTACAGAGGGCTGTTCCTATATAAACATAGATGAGACATCTATGAACCTGGAGAGAGGAGGAAAACAAACCATTGTGGATGCAAAGATGAGGAGAGAAGTAGACACTCATATCAAGTGAAATCTTTAGTCACATGGATGGCAGGACTTTGAGGTAACATGGTGTAATGGAAAGAGAAGGAAGAGAATGGGCTTTGGAGGAAAATGCACCTGCTATCAGATCCTAGCTTTTCAGCTGTTTAGGCTCTGTGGCCCTCAGGACAGAGCTGAACTTCTCTGAGGCCAGAAGCAGTGGCAGCAGAACTTGCCCTGCAGAGTTGTGGTGAGGCTTAGACAGAATATTGGTGAAGTTCCGAACTATGCTTGGCACACAGAGAATGTGCAACAAATGATGGCTGCTGCAGCTGCTGTTAGCATGATTATTGTTGCAACTGTGACCTTTTTAAGTTAGAAAGCATGGTGATCCTGCTTCTAGAATTCCCACAATACTTGGTTAGCACCCCAGTTTTGCCACTAACCCTAGATTGCCAGAAAAGAATGTATTTTGCTCCTGTATTAGACTGTTTGCTCTTTTGCCATAAGTAGCCATTTATCCTATCATTCACCAAATATTTATTGAGTACCTACCTTGTGTGAGACACTCTGCCAGGCCCTTTGTAGACATATCCCCTATACTTGTGTTATATATGCTGTTCCCCTTCTACCTTCCAGAGCACTTTATGTGTAGTAGATACTAAATAAAGCATGGAAGCAAGTCATTAATTTATTCAACTGGTATTTATAGAGAACATATTATATACCAGACACTGTTCTAGATGGTGTGGTATGGCACAGAGTGAAATAGATTTAAAAAAAAAAAAACTGACCTCATTGAGGTCATATTCTGTTGAAGGAGAAAGGTAACAATGAACATGTGACATACTAGGTGATGGGAAGTGTCATGGAGAAAACTGAAACAAGGAAGGCAGGCCAAAAAGGCTGTTGAGGATAGGGGAGGGAGCAAGGGTACCATGCTGAATCTTGGGTAAGGACATTAGAGAAGGATGATGGTAGAGCAAGCCATAGCAATACTGTAGGAGTTTCCTCCAAGCAGAGGGGTGGCAGCTGCCTCTGAAGCAGGAAGGAGCATGCCTGACAAGTTCAATGAACAGCATGGCAGGCGTGGCTTACAGGTGAAAGAATGGTGGGTTGGACCGAGGTGGTAGTGGCGGAAGCGGTGAGATGCGTGCGCTTGTGTGTGCATGCTCATTTGCATGTGCCATGGAAATGTGTAGAAAAGTGGAAGATCTGCAAGTAGGTACACACCAAGAGCAGGAAGGGAAACCTTAAGCAGTGATGAGAGCTAAGTCAGTGCTGGAGAGCAGACTGAAGTGAGAGAGCCTGTATCAGCCCTCTCTTAGCCACAGTCACAACTTCTTAGGCAGGTTTTCATTTTCTCATTTAATGAGCACAGTGTGGTGTGCAGACATGCCCATCAGAATATGTCAGACCTTAGAGCCGAGTGTGAGAACAGTAACAATTGAAAGCAGACACTTATCCTAGCTCTTCTTTCCTCCATCACTCAGTATTTAAAATAAATAGAGAATAGTAGGGGGAAAAGCCCCCAGTGACACTTCAGTGTGATAAAGTAAAAAGGGCTTTGCAAGATTTATGTGGTAAAGAGAGATGATTTGGTTTCTCTTGTGACTTCTGGACATGATTGGAAATCATTGAATCCAACCTTTTCTTGAAGTCAAGAAAAGTAAGACTGAACAAGGAGAAGGGATATGCTCAAGGGCACACAGCAATTCTATGGCAGGGCCAGGGCAAGAATCCAGATCTCCTGAAATTCCAGTACTTTTTTCCTGTATCATGTGGCCTCTCTTTCTTTCTTTTTTTTTTTGAGATGGAGTCTGGCTCTGTCACCAGGCTGGAGTACGGTGGCACGATCTCAGCTTACTGCAACCTCGGCCTCCTGAGATCAGGTGATTCTCCTGTCCCAGCCTCCTGAGTAGCTGGGACTACAAGCGCATGCCACCAAACCCAGCTAATTTTTGTAGTTTTAACAGAGACGGGGTTTCACCATGTTGACCAAGTTGGTCTCAAACTCCTGACCTCAGGTGATTCACCCGCCTTGGCCTCCCAAAGTGCTGGGATTACAGGCATGAGCCACCATGCCCAACCATTTTTTTTTTTAACGATACAGCCTCACTCTGACTGCAGACTGGAGCACAAATTGCACGATCATGGCCCACCGAAGCCTCAATCTCCTGGGCTCAAGCGATCCTCTCACTTCAGCCTCCTAAGTAGCTGGAACTACAGGGACACGCCAGGTGTCTTTCTAACTTCATTCAACATTTGTGACACATGACAGCTTTGTCATTTTTTCTAAGAATTACAAATGAGAACATATTCCTTTCTTGTCATAAATTGACATTTAATAGTTCATGACTACCACTGGGGAAAAAGACTAGGAAATAGCTTTTGCGATGTACCACAACAAAGAAACCCAGCTTTCACTGCCTTTTTGTTATTTCACTGCCTTCTGTGCCTAGACCCGTTAGCTTGGACATCTCCTCATCCCACACCTACCTTGAGAATAAATCTTTCTCTCAAGAAGTAACAAAATCATTCAGAAATTATAAACATAGCAGGACCATTCTCAAACCCACTCATACCAGACAAGCACAGAGCAAGTATGAGGTCCAACTTGCTGCCTCAGACCAGACCAGAACATACCAGAAAATAGACTCTGTTTGCAGAAACAGTCCAGCTCTCTCTGTAGCTGTAGACACAGCTTGTGTGAGTCTCAAGAGCATTGCCGTTGTAATTGTTCCCAGATCTAGTCAGCAGCATTTCAGCATTTTGGTACACTGCGATTACTGTTTCCCCAAGTCATCTGTATGTGCTGCTCATCAGGGTGCACATCTGTTCTGAGAGCCACCCTGGAAAGCTAGAGTTGCCAACAATAGCAACTGGTAAGGGGATGGGGGTGGGGCATGAGACAGAGTTCCTTCATGTTGTGATGAGTTATGTTCAGAGGAATAAGGAAGATATTCTTTCAAACATGCAGACTCATGGAGTCCCAAAGATATCTTTTCCCCATTTTTTTCCTCCCTCATTATGTTCTGTCCTGATAAACTCATGTGTTTGCCTGGGCAGGTGTTCAAAGTGTGGCTAGAGGAGGATAGAGAGGCTGAGGGGCACACAGACCTTGCTTTAGTGACTATTCCTGGGCAAGCATGCAGATTCCTTAAGTGGCCTGCCCTAAGCCTGGACCCCAGAGGAAAAATGACCTCCATGCTACATGCAGCCAGCAGATGACTCCTTGTTGCAAGTATTAAAGAATGTAATGAAAATGTGTGTCCAAACAGTGGTACTGTCTGAAGTGGAAACTCTGAAGACTTCTTTTTATAAATCAGCATGCAGGTGGATAGTCAGTAATTAACAGCCCATCTCTGTAGCATGTCTTAAAGAATCCTAAAAAGAGAGGATACTACTTTTCTCAGCTTCCCGAATACTGCTCCTTGGGAGGCTGTAAGAATTGCACTTTGCTTATTGTGGTAACTGTATTTAGAGCAAACTGACATTGTGGTTTCCACAAAACACTTTGATGATAGACCAATATTGTACATCAAGTGTTTTCTTTTTTTTTTTTTGCTTTTTTTTTGAGATGGAGTTTCGCTCTTGTTACCCAGGCTGGAGTGCAATGGCGCAATCTCAGCTCACCGCAACCTCCGCCTCCCGGGTTCAGACAATTCTCCTGCCCCAGCCTCCTGAGTCGCTGGGATTACAGGCACGCGCCACCATGCCCAGCTAATTTTTTGTATTTTTAGTAGAGACGGGGTTTCACCATGTTGACCAGGATGGTCTTGATCTCTTGACCTCATGATCCACCCGCCTCGGCCTCCCACATCAAGTGTTTTCTAACTGCTGATAGCCATTCCAGCAGCAGATAGAGAAATCATCATAGCTCTGAGGTGTTTCTTTCTCTGAAACACCACAACACTTGTTACATGTATTCAAAGGAAGAGCTATATTTGTGGATAGAATTAATGCCAGAGAAATATCCACCAAGCCCTCGCTGGTATTTGAAGACAAAAGCAGTGGTGTGCAGGGAGCCCTCAGTAGTTGTCAAAAGTAGTGGAGACCTTGGTGTTTAATGTTAGAAAAGGAGAGTGGGCCTCATTCGATAGCATGGTACTGTAGTCCTGGGTGGCTTGGTCAGATGAGGCAGGTATGGGGTGGTAATAATGTCTGTATCCACTGAAGCCTCTGGAAAAAGCTATTGTGTTGACAAAAGCTATTGCATTCACAAAAGCTGTAGATGTACTGTGAGAAGACTCAGTGGGATGTGGGAACAAGCGCACTCTGATGGGGCTTCACATATGTGTACTATGCTAAACTTCACTCCAGCGAATGGCATGCTGATGAGATCCCAGCATGATGGGGGAGGACTAGGACCCCACTGCCACCCTTTCCTACCAGCCTAATAAGGTCTGTCTCTTTCCATTCCCCAGGAACACTCCATCCCCAGTGTCTCTCAACAACGTCTCCCCCATCAACGCAATGGGGAACTGTAACAACGGCCCAGTCACCATTCCCCAGCGTATTCACCACATGGCTGCCAGCCACGTCAACATCACTAGCAATGTGTTACGGGGCTATGAACACTGGGATATGGCCGACAAACTGACAAGAGAAAACAAAGGTATGCTCATCTGTTCTACTCGTATAGCTCACAGACCATGATGAAATTAACTTCACTTTGAAGGACTTGAGCTGTACTTGGTGGCCCTATATCTTTCTGTCTCTCCGATTTCTAGTACTTAGATAAGGGAAGACAGAGTACACTCAGGGCTGACACAGTGACCTATTATTTTTGAGAGAATAAAAAGGCCCTGGAATTTTTTTCTCCTTTAAAGCTTGAACTAATTTGAACTGTGATGTGTTTTGAATTTCACTTAGTGGCAAAAATCAACACAGAGAAACAGAGGCAAAGTCAAAAATAATAATTTGCAAATTAATTAAGATCCTGTTGGCTCCTGTTATTATTATTAGTGAGGTTGAACTAAGGCCTTCTACCTTCATTATAATTATTAGCTCCAGTTAAGTGCACGATAATGCAGCTTGCATTTGGAAGCAAGGGCCAAAGCTCAGCTAGTGCTTTTCACACATTTGACAGCTGGGATGAAGAATCAGGGTGCTGTTCATAATGACACTTGAACTTTGCTACAAAACAAATGCAGAAAGGATCCTGCTTAACCAGAATGAATCTGTGGTCTTTGGTGACTCATGCTGACATCTGTGATCTTAGCTGTCGTTGAGGATCACAACAAAACCTCACTATCCTAGTGAAGGTGGGAAGTAAAATTAAACTGTATGTTGTTCCCAGCCATTCTTTTGACTTGGCTGATTCTGACCCAGGAGTCACAGACTGCTCCACACCAGTCAAGGTGGGGACAAATGTGGGCTACCCATTACTGCTGTATTGTTGAGCATGTGGGGAAATCATCTCATTGGAACAGGAAAGATGCAGATTTTGCAACCCGATCATTTAAGTTTGAATCCTACCTGGGTCATGCATTACCTGGGCAACCTTGTCAAGTTAGTTAAATCTGTGAGCTACTTCCTAGCTTCCATTTCTGTAATGGACATAACAATGACGATGATGGTGAAACTTCCCAGACGGATGATAGAGATGAGTTGAATTAAAAAATAGGTGTAAAGCACCTAGTATAAAATTCTGAGTTCAAGGTAGAAATTCTACAAACATTTATTATCTTTCCTTACTCCATAATATTATGTATCTATATAACTCAAAGATTTTGTGGCTCTCAAAGCGCATTCCATAATTTGATACCTCACCTCTCAATGCAGCTATAAACTTACACTGACCCCTAGGAATATGTGCATGTATTGGTTCCACAGGTTTGAGCAGCAATTTCTATATGCCAAGAACTCCACTATTGCTTTATCATTTGTTGTCTCATTTATCCTTATTTTGTACATGAGGAAACTGAGGCTCTATGAGATTAATAAGCTCACACATATCACAGCTCTTGCTTGTTAGAAGCAGGAATTGAATTTAGATGTGTCTGATTCCAGAGTCTCATCTCTTAATCAATAGGCTACGCTGCCCATCTAGAAAGCACGAGTAATGACAGGTCCTCAGAGACCTTTGGTGAGATCCCAAACCATTTATCTGAGCAATGGATAATTATTAAATTGTCCACTTTTTTATACCTCTGGAAATCCAGAGGCAACTGGCCTATACAACCAGACCCATCCAGGGGTTCTAGAATTGCAAGTGAAGACAGACACATCTTAAGATTTGCCTAGCATATCTGCCTCTACTATTTCTCTGTTATTTTGTATCAGCAACTGGCAGGCAGTTCAATATTAATGGATTTCCTTTATCATTGCATCCATTTTCAAAATCTGTTAAAGTATTTCCTTCTAAATTAACTTCAGAACTTTCCAGGAGCAATGTGGTGGCTGTGCTGATGTTAGGGTGAAATGGTGTTAATCTTGTCATTAGCACAGTGTGTCAAGTAGTTGCTAAATTCCCTGTGTAATATTGAATGAAAACAACTCTGTCACTCCACCAGCAGAGAGAAAATGAGTCCTGCTAATGCTGTCATTGGAGTTTTCAGTGGACTGGGGAGAGGACTAGTGTGAAATCTTCTGCTCACAGCCTTGAGTTTCATACCTTGTCATTTCTGATCTAGTTAGCTTTGGGGATTCTCTTCACATCTGCCTTGTCTATATAGAAATGAGGGAAGTGAGGAGCTTCCCTTTTGGTTGCAGCTCTGCATCTCACTGGAGACAACCATGTACTTGCACCTTGTTTACCCAGTGGAGGTGGGGAAGCTGGTTCTCCCAGTGAAAGGTCTCCAATCCTGCCTCATGCTGCCCAGCAGCTACAGCTGCAGATGGCTTATAGTAGAAGGTTCTGGTACTGAAACGACCCAACGGGGCTTATGCTACCCTCTGGCCTTTGGTCTAGAAGCCTACCTGCCCAGCTGCTTATACTGCTCACTTGGAGCAGTTATTAAAATGGTGTCTAATTAAGAATGCCACAGAGAGCTTTGTACAGAATACCCAGGGAACATCCTGCTCATATGAGGCTCACATTCATTCAACAATGACTAAGCCCTTGAATATTTTCCTTAATACTGTATTACATAGGAAAATACTTTAGATGCCAGAAATCATTTACTCTTTCATCAGCAGAAATTATTTTTATTGCATACTACAGGTTAAAAAGTTTCACATAATCAAATGAGGTTGATACCTAGAGAAAGATCCCATATGTTATATATAACATGAAGAATAAATGCATTGTTTGATGAAATTCCATCTGCTGAGCAATCAAGCACGTATAACCCATGCATGGAAATCGCTTTCCAAAAAGGCAGGAGAGCATCCCACATTAGGGCATTCTCCAGTCCCATCTACTCACCCCACCCCCTGACCCAGATTCCTTGCTCCCAGCCAGCACATAGCTGAGGCTGCTTCCTTTGCCAGAGAGCTCTCTCATAACCAAGTGCCAGGAAATGAATTCATACGTGAAATTGGAATACCTAGCTAGTTTTTAGAGATCATATAGTTTTTCCCACATACTATTTCTGTCCCCTAAGGCAGACATTCCAAAACTCCAGTCATGCTGGTTAGTAGTGTAGCCTCTGGGCTGCCCCCTTTCCTAAGTGAGCCAAGGGGAAATCAGCTGGGCATTCTTACATTCATGTCCTAGGTCAGGAGCCAGAAAAGTTGTTAAGTGACAGATACTTGCAGGCTGTTTTCCATCCCCAATGAAATTGGTAATAAGACTTACAGAATAAGATTCCTCCTAGATGCTTATTTAGCTGTAGAGGCTGATGGCTACTATTAATTTCCAGATTCATGGGCCTTGTCTACACCATGCCAAGAAAACTCAGTAAACTCAGTTCATTTAGACAAAAAGAAAAGAGGATATTTTTAATTCAGTAACATATAGAATAACAAAATAACAGCTTGACATTAGATAGACTATGGCTCCCTACCATTTGGTGTAGAAATACCCTTTTCTAAATATAAATGTATAATCTATAAAAACACAAATTTATTATGTGCTGAAGAGGTTTTGGAGCTCATTAAAGATTAAAATAATAGGGCCTGATAAACTTACGGAGTTTTGATCTCCTGGTAGGCACTCTATAAATGTTTGTTGAATGAATGAATGAACAAATGAATCATGTTTCCAATGTCCATGTGGTTGTGGTGTTGTGTGAAGGCAGCTTCTCAATGTGGTGCATATTTTCATGATATCATATAAAGGCCTGACTGAGGACTACTCTGCTTTTCAGAATTCTTTGGTGATCTGGACACACTGATGGGGCCTCTGACCCAGCACAGCAGCATGACCAATCTTGTCCGCTACGTTCGCCAAGGACTGTGTTGGCTGCGCATCGATGCCCACTTGTTATAGTGGGTGTTTTCCCATCTCTAACATCACGACCCATCACTCTACCTCTACCAGCGCACTGATGGTCACTGGTGGAACTCCACTCATTGGGAAAAGTTCTCTTTGGTTATATTTGTTTTTATGCTTCTTTTGTTATCTGTGAAAAACAGAAGTCATTGTAAGTTGACACTACAACCTAAGAGGAGTGTACATTTTATTACCTATTTTTTAGCATTTGATATGCATTTCTCAGATCCCACCATCTTTTTGTGCTTTATGGAATGACAGTCCTACAATATTGTTTTAAGTCCACACTACCCAAAACAAAGAATGGGAAACACTTGTGATAAAGACAGGCTCCTGCGAAATGCAACAACTGGTCTTACATATACATTAGAATTTACACACAAGGGACCGTCCCCCAAACTATACACTTATGTCCAGAAAAGGACATATTTCAGAATCTATCATTAAACTTTTGTGTATCTCACAGATTCAGTCTTCAGGTGAGAATTTTCATTGTTAAAATCCACTGGTTAGATGTTGTAGCAACATCATAAAATCAAAAGCATCAAGAAAATAAATGAGCTTAGCATTGCTACTCTAAAAAGATGCTATGCCACACGACCAGAGGACTTTCTTGTTAACATCCCTTTCCTGATTCCCTATTTTGTTAATTTTAATGATAAGAAGACATTTAATAATGTCAAAATTTTATTTTGACAACTTTTAGACATCAGCTGGCATCAATATTTTTGAACTCCATTATTTGAAGTGTAAATCCTCACCTGGGATTCTCTGTGTGCAAAGCTCTCTTATTGAGGAAGAGTTTGGTCGAGGCATGCCTTAGTAGCTAAAATGGTACACTCTAGACTTAGAGTTGGGAGTTAAGAGAGGTCTGGAAAGTGTCCAACAAGGAATTCACACCTCTGCCTCCTTTGCAACATTTACACAGTTGGTAAATGGTCCATAACTGGCAGGATTTTTAAATTGTATTTGGCTCAAATCTATGGAAACAAAAGTCAAGTTATCACTATCTAGAAGTAATATTATATAGTTTTCTTCCTAGTGGCTTGAAAATCTGAACTTCTTCAATTATTATTCACATTTTCTCTCTTATAGGGTTTCTTTTTTCTACTTTCTTTTTTCTCTCATCTGTTTCCTTTTCCTTTGTTTGGCTCATTAACTTTTGACTGAATTACAATTACTGATTTTATTGAAGGCCATATTATCATGAATTATTTCCATGAAAATTCCTAAGGAAATTCTAAATTCTAAATAGTAGCTAGCTTTTTTTTTAATGAGCCTTGGGGTAGTGCTTCACCCTGAGATGCTTTGAAAGAGCCCTAAACATAGAGAAAAATTCACCTAATTTGGATACATTTCCCATTGGTTGTGACTACCCCATTATGATTCTTTACATTCATTTGATGTCCCTAAACATCACAATGTAAATATCATTTTTGATGTTCCAGCTCACCAGAAGATTCTTACACTTGTAGTAAACACTACCCATGCATTACTTACTGGTAATTACCTGCTGGTATATAATTCCATGTAGCCTTTAATATGCTGAGTTATCGAATTCTGTTTACTGAGCTATGACCAGATAAATAATAGATATGCACATGAAAGATGCAAACTTGTATGATTATTAAAGCAAGTCATGCAGGTCCATGATAGAAACAGCAGGTGATCACTCGGTACTCTCATTGTCAAGGTTAGATATATCCCCATTTGCAAACAGCCAGACTTAAGCTGTGCTCTGGTCATCTTTGATTTTAAGGCCCTTTGTTGTATAAGGCTGTGGAAGTTGTACTCCAATGGCTGAAGCCATGTTGTTAATATGGCTGATGGGAGCATCCCAGCAGCTGAACCCCGCACTTTTTATGCTCCCACTGTGGTTGAGCTTTATGTTTATAGTCTCAACAACAACACTTATGCATGTACACACACACACAAATGAAACCTGAAAGAATCTTTTCTGAGCCTCTTAAAAGAGGAAAATAACAACATTAAAGACTGAACACCCAAGGTTAGTGTCACATATAAAAATTTAGCTGATGACTTTGCAATGACTCAAGTTCTTTCTTTATCATGGTTTACCAGGTAGAGTGCCTGGCTATTACTATATAATGAAGCCCACTAACTTGACTTGTGGCCTATATCACAGTCCTAGACCATCATGGATTTAGGAGTAGATTCTTCTTGAAATCCCACATCCAGAAACTAGACATTAGAATGTTGGGTCAGTTTTCCAGAGAAACAAGCATATTGCTTCATGGATGAAAGACCTGTAGTTCTAGTTTCAGTGACTTGTTATATCTATTTACATACAACAGGGAGGCAAGAGGACTCTCTGTCATCTCTGGTGACTGAGTGTAAAATATGTGCCAAGTCAGCAGCACAATGACCACATCTGACAATCGAGCTCTGAATCACCACTTTTATTTAGTAAACTCATTTATAAAGCAGCTTAGGAACCAACTAAACATGAAGGATGAATTACCTTCCTATCCTTTGAGATAAGACATCTTTTGGTTTCATGATTAAGGATTGTTGCTGTTTTATAGGTACTCTGTTAATTACAGTGTAAATGGTGATGTGTGTCGTAAATGTGCAGCTATTTGAGGGATTAAGGGATGGAGATATTCTGTCAAATGAATCTCTTCAGTATACCAGTTTGTGGGAGGGATATGAGACATGTGGATGGCAGTGAGAGATCGTGCCTCTAGATCTTGATGGAGGCTTGGTGAGACACACTTAAATAAGCACATGGAGGTTAGAGGGCAGAGTAAAAGGAAACTCCATCTGACCAAGTACACCAAATGATCTCAGCCCTGCAACTTGACCCAGGTAGGGCCACCACTACGCCTTCACTTGTCACCCAAGCTCCAACCACAAAGTGTTTGACAAGTTTGTGTTATGATGTTGGCTTGGCTTTGTATTTTTAATTAACTTTGGATTTTTAGTGGTTTTATCATATTACTGTCTGAGTTTGGTAGGTAGGATTACTTTGAAAAGAGTTTACTAGTGTGGTCCTCCGGGTAGAATTTAGCTGTAAGCATGTTGTTAGCCAGCCTGTAGACTGTTAATTACTTAATAATCTCATTGGGAAAATACTAGTAGTTTTATATTTGGATGACATAACTGGAGAAGCAGATTAGCTGCTACTACTTTTAAAGGACTTGAGGTCGGGATGCCTTTTTTCCCTGTAAGGAAATGAAAAGATCAAAATCTTCAAGCAATAAGCAAGTTGCAAAATTAGAAACCATTGGCTAAAATGTGTTTTGTTGAGTTTCCAAATGGATGAATTTTCACTTGGACATTACATCACTAAATGCATTAGATTTTGTCTGCATTGGAAAGATACTTCTAGCATATCTTTCACAAAGATATCTAATTTGGATTCTGTTTTATGCAAATTCGCATCCCAGAGGTTGAAGTTGGAGTTTGAAGTTGGAAAGTATTTTTGAAGGCAGAATCAATTGAGTTGTGAGGGTGAAGCCCTCACATACTTCTCAACAGACATGATAAAATTCACCTGCATGAGTTGGCAGGTGGGAGAACCAAACTGGATCACTGGGTAAGACTACTCAGTAAAGCAATGAACTGCTTGCTTAGAGAAGCATCACTATCCCCATTGAGAAAAAATGTGTGGCAAGACGATATAGCTACACAGTATCAAATGAATGGGTCAATTCAGTGCCCCCAAATTTAATTATTTGGGGAAAAATTATTGAGCCAGTTGTCAGTGTTCTGTTACACAACTGGCAGACTAAATTCTTCATCGTCGTTGTTATTGTTGTTGTTTCTCATTTTCACTCAAACAGCCTTATTCTCATAATTAAAACCTGATTCATTTTCTCTTTAGTGTTAGCAGACTCCAACAGCAGAAGTGGCATCTGTGTATTCATAATCAGCATTTACCCTGGCAGGAGACTAATCAGATAGGCCGCTCTCAGACATTAATTCTACTATCTGATATTTTTGGTGACGGAAAAAGTGTTAATTTTCTTTCCATTCTCCTCCCCAGAAATATAGAAGACCTCTTTACCAAAACCATCACATTTTACTCTGTAATCTACCAGCTAAAAGAAAATTGCATTGTGGGGAGGGTAGAAAGAGGGTGTGGGTGGGGGTGGAGGGTGGGGAAGCCCCACAAAGCCAGATTGCAGTTCTTGCCCCTTTTTGCTTCTGACATGAGATGTTAAAGAATTATTCATAGTGCTCACATTGGGTTAGGGGACACTGAACTGCTTTTTAGATCCATGATCAGTCATCATTCTTTTAAGAGATTGGAGCTTTGCTGTTTCATTAACTGTGCAGTGTAGACTAATGGTGTTTAATAAAAATCATTCAAAATTTCAAACCCTTTTGCCAGTGACCTCAATTTTGTTGGCTCTTTGATTTGTATCAGACTTTGAGGAGGGAAGGGGGAAGCGAAGGAAGCCTGCTTCCAGACCCCTGGCAGGATGCTGCAGTGGCAGACTCAAACTGGCCTGCCTGCCAGCAGTTGCTGGTGAGCTGCAGCATGCAGACCAGCTGTGGGAAGCCTCCTGAAGAATGCCACAGCTGATGCTTTCGGCTGGGAATAGCTTGTTCCTATTGGGGAACTCATTGTTCTCCAGTCTCTGCAGCAGGAAGCCAGCTGTCATATCCAGAGGGAATTTCAGATGCTTTACCTTTTTAGTTTTGTCCTCCATCACGCATGTGGCTATGAAATAGAAATGTCTCTGCGAGTAGAGCCCGATGTGGTGACAATGGGTAGTCAAATGCATCCCAGATGCTCATGCCCTCTTGCGGTTCTGCAGTGCTTATGAAATTGGGGGTAACGGAGACCCTGGACAGTAAGCAAAATTGGAGAAACTCCAACGAGGCTGAGTTGATGACATGTTGCCCAGATCAAGAGCTAGCTTCTCAGCCTAGCATGTAACCAGTGGTGTGCTGGTAAAATGTTTAACCAGCTCACTGAGAATAGAAAGCAACTGGTTTGCACCATTTGCCGATCTCCATGGCATAAATACGACCACTTTAGATGATTTTAAGCTACCAACTGTGATGCCACTGAACACATGGTTGGAAAGAAATGCACACAGTTGGCTCTTGCATGCCTGGGCAAAAATGCTTCAACACACTACTGGATGCAGCCAAAGAGGGTTCATATTTCAGACATGTGTTCATGTGGACACACAGAGATACATAGACAAACTCACCTTCACACACACACTTCAATGACTAAAACAGTTACATAGTTTTAAGTTATGAATCAATCTGTGAATGTAGAAACTTTATGATAAGGCCCTAGAGATATGGGCTGTCCTGGAAGCCTAGGTTTTAAGCAGGGGAATAGCTGAGAAGAATGAAGCCATTTTGCATTGAAAGGAGATATGGATCAATGGAGATGATTTCATCATCTCCCTCCATATCTCATAGGTAAAATGGGTGCTTAGAAAACCCTCATCATTGATTTTTTAAAAAGATAAATGTTTTTTATTATTATCATCATTATTTTGATTTACACATGTTATTTGTAACTTTCACATGTAACTAGGGTAAAGCATTTACGGGAACTCTATGGAGAATAGCACAATCCAGAATTTAATGTATTTTTTTTGGGGGGGGACGTGGAAACTCAGTAATTCTCCCGTCTTCACATTGGTGTTCATAAGATTTTTTACTTTGGTTATTAGGGAATTTAAGTTTTTTGTTAACATTTGCTTTTAGTTAAACGTATCTAATTACTGTTTTAGCTCTGAATTCAAACCAGGATGTTTCTGTATCAATTACATGACTAGTATTCAGAAACAATCATCCAAACCAAAATAATTCTCTTTTCCACCCAGTCAAAGAAAACTAAGCTCACTAACAAGAAGACATACTAAAGTATATAGTGAAGCTTTCATTAAATACACACACACTCTCTCTCACACATACATATAGTTTTTAAATTAGGCCTCCACACATAAATCATCTTGAAAGTAGAATAGAAAATCTCAAAGAATTCATTCTCCTGGTCCTGTGCATCTTCTGCAGTTAATAAGAGGTTTGTATCTGGAAAGATTGAAGAACGTGTTCTAAAATCTTATTTTTTAAAAAATATTTCCATTTTCTATCTGGGCCTGTGTCCATGGTTGAATGTTAGCCCTGGAGGAGATCCATGTCGTGCTCTTTCTGGCCCTTGTCTTTTGCCTCTGCAATTCTTTTTGTAGCTGGCACAATAGCAGGGACTGGGGGTCTATCCTTTCAGGGTGTTGCTACAACATTTGTCCTTACTGGAAAATGGTAACATCCAGGGCTGACTGAATGGCATTACACACACAGGGACTCTGAGCACCTCCGTCACCACACCAGACAGTGGACAAGTTTTCATAGCTACAAAGAATAGAGATGTGTTTAACATCATTCAATGCATCCCCTACTTCAAAACCATCCTAATCAATCATATTCACCCATAAATATTACAAATGAGATTGATTCTGTCTCAAGACAATTTGTCAAATACTTAGTTTTCTTCCTGGATGATTCTACTCACTGGATGTTTTAGAAAGAGAAATATCTGAGATAAAATCCCTCACATTTACTCAATTCTACAAATTGCTGTTTCTATTCCTATTCTGAGTAGTGCTTCTGAAGACTGTTTGTTGTAGTGTTGTCTTTGATAAAATGAATGTCAGTAGTGAGCCTTTTAGAGATACCATGCTCAGAAATCCTCCTGGGGATCAGAAGATACCTAAATTTCTCCCTCTTTGCCCACTTGGTTAGATGAGTGACATATTCTTTGGATCCTGCAAAGAAGAGACTGGTTTCTTTTCTTTTCTGGTGGTGGTAGTGGTCGTAGCTGTGGCTGTGATGGTTGTTGTTACTTGTCTCTCTCTCTCCGGCTCTGGCTTTTGCTTTCCTGCTAGTGTTCTTTCTCTTTCAAACCAAATAGTTAAATTAAATGTGAGCCTCTGAATTGTACTTGTTTATGCTTTTAAAACATAACAGATTAATAAAAATAGATGTGTCCTGATTTAAAACATGCCCCCTGGAAAGGCATGCTGTATTATGAAATCGTGATAATATAACTGCATTATTACATGGCAGTATAAATATTAGTCTGTTGAATTCATTTGTCCAGTTGTATAACTTTGTGGAGCAGTGTTTTGACCTTTGCTACATAATTTTGGAGCAAGTGGAGTGGTTGCAGGCAGATGAGACAGTATTATATCAGGATTTTTCAATGAACTTTAGTTGGAGGCCTGGCAATGACAAACATCTTCAGATGTTTCTGGAACCATTATAAATATGAAAAAAAAAAAAAAAAAAAAAAAAAAAAACCTTTTAAAAAAATTCCCCAGATTTTTTCAGTGAAGACTTTTTAAGTACATCTTTTTTTTTTCCTTTTCTCCATTTCCTTTTCCATTATTTTTGGAGGGGTGGTTGTTATCAATGACTGAAGAAATATTTTGATTGCAAGTCTCTCTCTCTCTCTCTCTCTCTCCCCCTCTCTCTCTCTCCCCTCTCTTCTTTCTTCTCTCCCTCTATCCATCTCCCCTCATTAAAATATTGAAAGCTGGAGTCTTTGATAAATCTGCATTAGACAAGGCTGTATGCTAGGAATGAAATCTAGGCAAACATCGATGGGTTTTCAAAGAACATTCCATGTTCACTGGGCCCTTTCACACCCCACAGTGATAAATGAAAAGCATAGACATAGTTTTTGCAAAAGGGCACTTTGATGATATCCTCTGAGACCTAATGCAGTTTAACAAATGACTCCACCTATTTTTCCAGTAAGTAAATTGACTGAGACTTGCAAAACACCCCTGAGAGTTGTTAGGGGTGTCTTCTGCCTGGTCTATAGTGTGTGTGTTTGCTTTGTATCTAACAGGCACGTTCACGTCTCGTGTGCTCATATGAAGTATTTCCTAACATTCCCATTAGCCTGTATATAAAAACCAGAAAGATAATCCCAACATGTTGTAAATGAAGATGTCACTCTATAACCTTTCTCTTCTTCTTGGAAAAAAAAGACATTTTCATGCATATTTTAAACAGAAACTTTGTATATTTAAGTGTCATGGAAAATATTTATTGAGTAACTGGGATACAAATGGGAATTATTGTCATCATATGCTTCATGTGTGGGGATACTCACTAACACCATGTCGCTGGACCATTGTGGCAAGCCATAACTGCACAAAGAGTACATAGTGTGTGTGTGTGTGCGTGCATATGTGCGCACATGCGTGTGTGTGTCCCTGCATGTGCAACATGCCTAGCTTGCTGTCCTTCATGGGATTTTAGCTTTCCCTTCTTGAAAAACATTATTTTACAGTTCCAGGAGGCCCTGGTTACATTACTATATGAAGGCAGTGATTTGAAATGAAAATTTATTTCCTCTTGGAAGCTTTGGTCATAATATCATGGTTCAATTAAACGGATTCCACCAGCCTTTGTGATGGAAGAGGCTCTGTTTAAATCCAACTGAGTTTCCCAGAGGAAGTTGTAGGCCAAGAGGGATGAGAGGGAAGATGGAGGCCACCTCAGCTGCAGCAACATGAGCTGAGTTGAGCCCGCAGTGTTGAAGTTGACTTGCTCCAAGCTGCAGTCCAAAACCCTGGGGCCCATGCCTGGCCTATGCTCCCTCCCCAGTAAGTAGAGGAGCAGAACCATCAGGAACAGCCTGCCTGGCTCCTAAGAAGAAAATTACCTGTGGTCCTGTCCCCAGAGGAAGACCCTTTCCCCAGGGGCACCCCAGGTGGCCATTAATTTGTGATGATCATTAAGAAAGTGCCCCCTTGGCTTTATGAGACTCCAGTTAGTCTCTTGAGCCACCTTTCCTTGGGTGCAGATTTCCAATATTCATACTCATTGCAGATCCACCAACTGTCACTGTTCTTAACAAGCATGCTTGTCTTGTCAGAATTTCAGTAAGTTCCTATATCATGTACAGACCAGGGTAAACTGTTCTAACATCAATCAATTAATGAAATGTTATCTGGTTTTTAAAAGCTGGTTTCATGTGCTTTATGTGTATAAAACTATATCTGCCTGTGTGGCTTTGCATTTCAAATATGTGGCGCACAAGCCTTTTGTTGGTGCTTTGTTATCAGTACAGTAACTCTGTGTACAAACATTCTAATGTGGTTTTGTTGTTTTCCAACAAGATGTCTCTGTAAAAATGATATTGGCTGAGCTGGTGCGTTGGTTTATCTCATAGTGGCATTAACTATACTGCCAATGCATTGAATTATTTAAAAATGCAAAATAAAATTTTTATGAAAATCTCATTTTAGACATGTAGATCATTCTGCCTAGAGACTTTCCCAGCCATAGTACCTTGTCATCAACTCTTCCACATTATAATACATAGCCAGTGCCTCCACTTACATCAACAGCCATAACACTGACAGCCATAAAGAAAGTAACTCTCACAAAGCCAACCCACTTTGTAAGAGACCCTTGGACCATCATTCAAAGCCCATTTAAGAGAAAACTGTAATATGTTTAGTTATCTGTATTCCTAACACACAGCAGAAAAAGCTTGCAAAGCATAAAGTTATAACTGTAGCAGATGCTGACAGAAGAGAGAGAATTATGAAACTAAACTGAAAACTTAAAAACACAGCTGGAAGTGGCCATTTACTGCAGGGGTATGCAGCCACCAGCCCTGGGAGGACAGCACAAGCAATAATTTCGGGTCACAATAAATGTCTGAAAGTCATGAGGAAAAGGTTAAGTATACTCTTAAGTAAGGCAGAAGCTCATGCCATATATTTGAGAACTGTTTTCTTCAAAATGTTAAACATTTTTTGGACGGCTGAAGAGTAGATTTCAGTATCTAGAAATTTCATTTACTTGGACTATATTCTCTGGCCATGTAAAGTAAGGAATTGCAATGCTAAGACTACACGGCACGAAACACCTGTCCGTAAACACAACATTAACAGCTTGGCTGGATTTCCTGTGAACAAATGAACTACATTTGGTTTGACCAGATATTTTGACTCTAAATAATCATAATCATAGTCCAAGTGTGAACACGAATGTAGCTAAATGCGATTAAACCTGATAGTTGTAATACTGCCACTAAGAATTCCAAATCCTTTCCAAAATGTAAAACCCACAGTATCTGTAAATACGAACATTTTTATCGTGAGATGATGGGGAAATACATGAGCTGAGTAAAAAAGAGCTAAATGGATTATACATGTTTTCTCAAAAAACCAAGTTGTTTTCTACTTCTCTCAAAACAAACAGATACTATAAATGATAACTATGCCTAGGTAAAAGTATGTACACATGCAGAGAAGAACTTAGAGGAAATATGCAGAATGACATTTTAAAAAATTAGGGGTGCTAGAATTATGCTAATTGATTAGTTGCCATGGCATTTACAAGCACCAGTAAGGCGCTGAAGTCCAGGCACTGTTTTAGCACTTTCTTATATATTAATACATGTAATTCTTTTAAAAGCCCTATGAGATAGGTACTAGCATATCTCTGTTATATAGATGACAACATGGAGACGCAAAAAAGTTAAGCAACTTGCCTGATGTCACACAGCCAGGTGGCCCCAAAGGCTTTAATCTTAACTATTACCCTCTACTACCTGTTATTATTAATAATGCTATTGATTCTATAGCATATATTATTTACATTTTAGAAACGAATGTAAAGCAGGACCACAAGCCTTCAGGAAGTGATTTCCTCTCAATCTTTCCAGAGGTCTCTAAAGGAAAGGCATTGGGCCAATCTTCCAGAAACACCTTTTTCTGTGAAGAGAGACCAGGGCACAGGAGGAGTGAGCAACTCAGGAAACATTTGGTGAGGTGGGGCCCTTTAGTCTTGGAAGTAACAAATAGAAGAAGAGACGACACCACCTTTCAGGCTAGTCACTCTTGCTAAGATAAAGATCAGGCCTTGGATTGCTAGAGCTATTTATTTATTTATTTATCCGAGACGGGGTCTCACTCTGTTGCCCAGGCTGGAGTGCTGTAGCACAATAACAGCTCACTGCAACCTCCACCTCCCGGGCTCACATGATCTTCCTATCAGAGGTGTTTGAACAAGAGCAGCTCCATCTTGAATAGGAGCTGGGTGAAATAAGGCTGAGACCTCTTGGGCTGCATTCCCAAGAGGTTAAGGTATTTTTAGTCACAGGATGAGATAGCAGGTGGGTAAAAGATACAGGTCACAAAGACCTTGCTGTTAAAAGAGCTTGCAGTAAAGGCCTGCCAAATCCTGCAAAACCAAGATGGCAACAGAAGTGACCTCTGGTGGTCCTGACTTCTCATTATATGCTAATTATAATGTATTAGCATGCTAAAAGACATTTCCACCAGCATCATGATAATTTACAAATGCAATTCCAACCTCAGGAAGTTACTCTATATGGCCTTAAAAGGGGAGGAGCCCTCAGTTCTGGTAATTGCCCACCCTTTTCCCTGAAAACTCATGAATAATCTACCCCTTGTTTAGCATATAATCAAGAAATAACCATAAAAATGGCCTTCCAACAGATCCTGCTACTGCTCTGCTTATAGAGTAGCCATTCTTTTATTCCTTTACTTTCTTAATAAACTTGCTTTCACTTTATTCTATGGATTCACCCGAATTCTTCCTTGCATGATATCAAGAATCCTGTCTTGGGGTCTGGATCTGGACACTTTTCCAATAACTTTCCCACCTCAGCCTCCAGAGTAGCTGGGACTATAGGTGCAAGGCAATATGTTCACCTAATTTTTGTATTTTTAGTAGAGATGAGATTTCACCATGTTGCCCAGGTTGGTCTCTATCTCCTGCGCTCAAGTGACCCATTCACCTCAGCCTCCCAAAGTCCTGGGATTACAGGCGTGATCCACTGTGCCCAGCCAATTGGTAGAGTTTTAATATCAGTTCACTTTAAGACAGGCCCAGCCCCGCCTTAACTCCTACTCCTTGCCTCTGAGGTACAGCGAATGGTTCAGAAGGGCAGTAGAACATCCCAGGGGAGTGAGTCCCCTAGGCTTTTGGCGGGATTTTAAATGAGGTTTTCACTGCCTGAGTTAAGTGAGATATGTAACCTTTTTGTGTCCAACTTTCTTCCTCTGCAAAATGAAGTTGGTCATATCCACCTTCTCCCTGCTACCCAGAAGTGAGCAAGATGTTATCTAGAGTGGTGTTTCTTATCCTACTCTCTCTTGGAAACCCTGAGGATTTTGTTTTTCCAAATAATTTTTTCTGACACACTGTCATTCCCAAAGCCAACAGACTTAATCCTCTGAGGGTGTAAGAGTAGTGAGGCAACTTCAAGGTTGCATGTCTAGCAGGGGGTGTGCCACAAGTGGGTAGTCTGTGGCAGAATGTATCACACAGAGGACTAGGAATGCACTGAGCCTCATGCTTTGGGGAAAGAGTATGTTTAGCTTTGTGAGTTTCTCCAGGAAACACATTTTAGGCTTTGGTGGGAGATTTTGTTTCATCCCCCTTTTAAGAAAAGATAATAAAATAGTAAAAATGATAGCTGTGATATAAGAGGGAATCTATATAATTTGGTAAGGGAGATTTGGCCAATAAGTTTCGGGTATCGGCATTTGAAATTGACTCATGGTGTCAAAGCCCTTTGCAATTATGCAGGTCATGAGCTGCAGGGTTACTGGGATTGACAATTACACAAACCAGTGTGTGAGTTCAGGAGTTCAGGGAGAGACAGGAAATGACTTTCAATCCCTGTTTTCCTAGCCCTGGGACTCTCCACCTTGAAGAAATACAGGAGGACTTTTAAAAATGCAAATGTCAGGCCTCCTCCTCAGAGATTCTGATTCCATAGGTGTGTGTCAAAGGTCTTTAATAACTGTATCTTTTAAGGCTCCCTTGTTGATTCTTATGTGAAACCAGTATGAAGAACCACAGTTCTAGGCTTATCAGAGAAAAGGCCCAGTTTCCCATTTATCCCACCCACCTTCCTGGGGGAACAGGAGATAATGGTGCTTCCAGTGCTCTAGGAAAAACATCCCACAGGAATCCAAGCTCTGAGTATTCTTCTCTAGGGAAGGAATTTCTTTTCATGCTTTTATAACTCTCCAGGTATTTTCCAGTTAGCTGAAACCACAATTCACTTGAACATATTCTCATTTCCAAAATAAGATAAACCCTGCAGCAGGCCAGAGATGTGAGGGGAAATTCATGAGGAAGGATGTATCTCTCTGGAAACAATCCTCTTCAGCATGAATGGACCTGGGCAGATTGTGGTATGGATCTGAGGTTCTCCCAGAATTCTCAACTCTGAGGACACAGCAATGAATGACCAGAAAGGATCCGGAAGGAACCTTCTCTCATAGAGGTTAATTTTAAAAGCCCCTCCCACATCCTTGCTGGGCCAAAGCATTTGCAGGACAAAAAAAAAAAAAAAAAATTAAAATTAAAAAACTAAAAATAGAAACCACAGACTAAGCAGTGGGAGCAAAACTTCCTGAGTTTATCCTAGTGTTATAAATGTCCTCTGTGTATGGGTCCCCATGTTGTTTACGTCTTCACAGCAGGCCAGGACTGGTTAGCTCAAAAGCCCTGGGGACAAAACCAATATTTTACACATCAAATTGTTTTAAATATAGCCCGAATAAGCAGATTTTTAGCAGTTTAGAGCCTGTTTGTTTTGCACACCTCATGAAGCTGTACCCAACATCTCTTAGGTATAGATCAGATAACCTTGGGGATACAAAGACCATGGCTGCCCTTCAGAGCTGTCTGAACAGAGACTCCCCATTGAGTTACTGAGTGATATCAGCTAGGCATAGAAGCCCACTTTCTCCCCACTACCAGGTTCTTAGTTCTCTTCCCCTTCCTGGTGGTAGCCTCTGGACCCTAGCATCTGGAAGGTCTTATTCTGTGAAGGACTTCTCTCACCCCTCCAACATGCAAATCTGTCAGTGTCACCCAAATAAAGCTTGTTGTGTGCTACTGTCACCTCACAGTGATATCCTTTTCCCTGATGAGCCCCCAAATTTCCTCAAACTCACTATACCAGGAATCAAAAAAGGGCCTTGAAAGGTCAACTGACAGGAGGAAGGGGCAAGCTTTATTTGTGGTCTTCTCCTGGAAGCCCCAAAGCATTCTGGTCACCCCCTAAACTGACCAAGTCTTGACCAAGAATCACTGAACAAGTCCTGTGATAGACACCAAACACATCTAAAACATTGCCCTCACTGAGAAAGAGCCAGCTCCTTCAAAGTATGGCCCAAACACCTCCAGTACCCAGTTGGTGTATCCTTGCTCTGGACTTTAGGCCCAGCTCATCTCCCACACTCTG